GTAGTAACGGCAAGGCCGCAGACCATTTCGGTCGAGGTTAGCACCACAGTACCGTCCGTCAGAGAAAGTGAAGAGTGCAGGACCATCCCAAGGCTCCATCATACAAGCAGCCCACTCGTAAAAGGCCGCCTTGGCGGGATCCATGGTGCTGTTGCCCTGCCATGCTTCTGGTACCATGAGCATGACTGCTTCTGGGAGGGAGAGAACGCCGTTGATGGTCAACAGCTCAAGGACGTTATCAAAAGCCGCAGAATCGGAGCCACCATCCTCAACAATTGGATAAAGAAGATCGAGTTCCTCACCGAAGAGGCTAGACTTCATAACACCCTCGCGTGCTCGCATCCAGTTCTTGTTTCCTCGTAGCGTGTTGATTTCACCGTTGTGAGCCGCCCATCGCAGAGGCTGCGCACGGTCCCAACTGGGGAATGTGTTGGTCGAGAAACGCGAGTGCACCAAGGCAAAATGACCCTCGTAATCGACATTGAGCAGATCATGGTAGTATTCATAGACCTGAACTGGAGAAAGCTGTCCCTTGTAGACAATGTTCTTGTTGCTCAGTGAGCAGATGTAGAACCAGTTGTGTAGGCCAATGACGTGTGTAGCCCGCTTTCGCATGACATAGAGCTGTCGCTCAAAGTATACGTTGTCGTACTTTTGCTGGAAATCGGCCTTTGGCTCCCGGCCATCACCGTAGGCACTTTTCAGAACAACGAATGGCTGGAGGATAATGGGCTCTCGTGACAAGGCCGCGGGTCCAAGAAGTGTTGAATCGCGCGGCACAGTTCGCCATCCAAGCACTCTCAGATTGAGCTGGTCTGCAACATCCTCAAACATGGTCTTGGTCTCATCCAAGATAGTAGGGTCCGGCTTGAAGAACAGGTTACCAGTGGCGTACTGGCCAAGCTTGGGCAGCTTGTAGCCCTGTTCACGCTCGAACTCTTTGAGGAAGAATCGGTGGGGGATGGAGGTCATTACACCTGCACCGTCACCGTCTCGTGCGTCGGAGCCAACGGCTCCTCGATGGGTCATGTTGCATAGCAATGACCGTGCTGTTCATTTGTCAGTATCTATGTTTGTTCAATTTTGGGTGTATATAGATTTCTTACCGTCAGAGACGATCTTGTGGCTAGCTTTGCCCTTGATGTGGCTGTACAATTGTCAGTTCATCCTCACGCACTCTGAGCAAACTGATTGTGATTGTTACTTACGCAGCAAAACCGACACCACAAGCATCCTTCTCTAGCTCTGGGTCATAGAGACCTTGCTTCAAGGGCAGCGCACCCGCCCAAGACTTGTTCTCCGGGCCATCCTGATAAGCAAACACCGAAGTCTGCTCTTCTTCGATCTGGGTATCCTGGGGCAACTTTGTATCTTCGGCGAACGAGACCCGACCCATTATATCGGCAAAAGGCCGAATTCGTGGGTTTCGTTGGTGTTGGTAGTGGGAAGGGTGCGAGATCGTTATCGGCGTGTGGCGGGGTCGCTCGATGCGTCGATCTGAAGGTGGTGGTCTAGTCTAGGGAGTAATTCTGGGGGAGGAGTTAATTTTTGGTTCATAAGAAGAAAAAGAAGGAGCAAGCTGTGGGCGCGAGCAAGATGGCTGAAAGTCAAAGGTAGCTTGGTCCAACGGGGCGTATATGCCTAGTTTCAAAAGCGACAAATGCGAGTGGGGGTAACGAGTGTTGCTAGAGGGGATTGCAACCATAAAACACTCTGGGAGCTAGCCAAACAATGGGACTGGGTCGCTGAGCAGGCGGATTTGGGCGGAGGTAAGCAATTGATAGCTATGACGCTCACGCAAATCCCCGCGGCGAATAATGGGGTGTCCAGGCAGAGGATGCGCTGATAAGAGAGGCAGCGAATGGGCTCACGCGGGGTAGCAGCCCAAAGTGCAGTAGGAGGGTAGCTAATACAGACCAGGCCGGAGTGGCGGTGGAAAAGCACAATGTATGGTCGCGGATGGGTGGGTGGGTGCAGCAGGCGTAGACATGGGAGGCAGAGCACTCACTTACTCGATGTGGGGACTAATGGAACTGGCCGTGTAGTCGGCTCGCGGTGTTCCTGCAAGTAGATTGTAGCGATTGTGCTGGAGAGAGTACAAGACAAGAAGAGAGAGGGGGGGCAAAGGGCGCGGCTAGTTGGGAGGGAGTGCTTATGAATAAGAGGGTGGAGGGCTGGTGGTGGGGTGGATATTTTCCCAATGCGCTAGCAATCGACTTGACAGTGTCCAATGACGGGGCCAGAAGCGCGTCGAGGGAGGCGTTTCTGCTGTCACTTGTAGGCCTTGTTGGTCGGTCGGGTCGGTCTCTTTGCCGCTGCAGACTGGGGACTGCCTGGTGCTGGGGGTGGATTGATGCCTTGGGGCTTTGTTTGCATGTGGTTGTGGGATGACGCCCCCCCTCTTTCACTACGGCACATGAAATTGAAATTCTCAGGGTCTACTTATTTTTTTTCTTTGATAGAAACCCACGAGTATCGGTAGCTCGCCACCGCCAGTTTGAACTCAGACTGCGAGCCATTGTTTCTCACTGCGTCTGCCGCGGCGTGGCGGATGGTTGGCATTGGTGGTCGTGTGTGGATACTGTATAGCAACCTCTGCGGCGGGTTGCGCATGGGAAAATTGACCTACCCCACGGTTTTTCTGCCGCTCCATGACGATAACGATGGGCGTGATTGGGCAGCGGGGGTCGACCGCCCTGCAGTCGTTCGACTGTGCATTGGCAGGCTGGCCTCCGAAGGTCGGGTTGGTCGGGTTGGCTGCGGATGAGCAGACGGTTGCATGTGCCGCATCATCTGAATCTCGCCCGCGCCAATTGGGCCGCCGGCCTCGCCTCGACTATTTTGGCGTAATTCCCAAGGGTCATGTCTGGTCTTATCTGCGCCCAAGCATCTCCGGGGCGGGAGCTCGCGCTATGCCCTGCCTTCTCTCGCCCCTCGTTGGACGGGACAAGATATAACCCCGCCCGTGCGCGGCGGAGCTTCCGCCCTCATTGCTTGACTACGCAGTCGACGACATCATTGCAGCCCAGATTGCAGTGAATATCCCCCGGCTAGTCGCAGCCTTGGGCTTCTGCAAAAGAACCCTCTTGCCTGTCCTTTACTTGCATGGTCCCAGACATTGGACCGTTCTGACCGGCCCGCCACGGCTGCTGGCCGCTGGCCGCTGGCCACGAAGCAATAGTGTCCGCATCATGTTCGGAACAGATCGGAACTGACACTGCCTGCAGCCCGGCACCACGTAGCGGGAGACGGGTCACGAGAACAGGCAGGCCTTTGTTCTGCTGATCTGGCCGATGTCGCCTGTCGCTGTACCTAGCTTGCACACGTTACCCGGCGGATATGCCAGGAATTTCTTCAACGCAATCAAAACACACCACCTGTGCTCAACACCCCCGACCTAGTGCCAATCTTACCACTGCCATTCGACGGCCAGTCTCTGCAGGATTCGTATACCCAATACTATGTACCTTCGCTTCGGCCCTTTGTGCGAAAAGAGTCGAAACCGGTGGCCGTTTTCCAACTTGCCATATCTTCCAGAGGCCGAGTCCGACTTCAACATCTGATTCCCGACCCAAGGCAGTCGATCTGCCCGACAAGATCGGACTCATGTCCCGATGCCTTGGTTTTCCCCAAACACGAAAAAAGAGAGAACTCCAGATACTTGGGTCACTTCCTTCTCACACACTCACCATAACAGAACTCGACAGACATTGCCCTGGATACAATAATGTATAACTCCGTGTCCTCCCTAGCTACACTCCAAAAGTATCCCACAAATTGGACCCTTACTGGGAGCTGCAACTTTTGCCATCAAGATCGCTTGGTCCCAGAAAAAGCGGGACGCAAGGTTCGAATAACATACGCCCACAACCCGATCACGTGCACTTTGAGCAACAACCCTATTCCTCCCGACAATCACCACGAACAAAACGAGTAACTCGAACCTAATAAGCCTACCCCTATGCAAGATCACGGGATCCCGTTTTTCCTTCCTTTTTACTCGAGTTACCCAAACAAGCTAAAACCACAGATGATCCTTTTTTCTTTGTCGTTTCTTTCTCTTAGGTAGTAAGTATCCATCAAACCCCCACGCACTGCACATCAAGCCGAAATTAATTCTCACCCACATTTCCCCATGCTCCCTTCCATAAAGATCTTCCTACTTACATACCTGGCCTCACCTTTTTGCCCGTCTCCCATTGGCAAAATAGACTTTGGCAATACGGGATAACCGGCCCGTTTGGCAGTAATACTGGCCACTTTTCGGTACTGTGGCGACCTTGATGGTTGCGTACGCAGGCTGATTTACATAATGTACTACGAAATAACTTTGCCTCGACTGCTTATTTTAGTGTACCATACTCCCTCCCTCCCTCCCTCCCTCCAAGCAACTCTAGTGCTTCAGACCCTGAATCTGGCTCCCCTTCCCCCCATGTGCCCAAACCCCGTGACTTGGGGGGGAGGAGGGAAGCAGGGTGCTGTGGTGGGGCCATTATGGTCGCAGCATTTCATTTCGTGGGGTATATGAAGTGGCACAAGTTATACACAAACACAAAATAAAAAAACACTGGTAATCACAGCACGCATATAAAAAAAATTAACTGCTTATACAAATGTCTACCTTGTGTAGTGCAGTCCATGTTCTGGTGCTTGCAGACTTAGCCAGCCTTGGCATCTTGCGGCTGGGTGGTGCGGGGTTGATGCCTGTGTGTTGGCATGTCTGTATGCACCCTTGGAGAACAGACAAGCAAGGGAGGGGGGGGGGGGGCGTCCAACTAGCTGCCTGCGCGTAGAGAAAATAGAGTAGACAAGGTGCTACAGTTTGTACTACACTATCTCGCTATTAATCAAGCATGTCAAGTCCGGGGATACATGTATAGTGCTTGGGGTCCTAAAGTATTGTTCTTTGTACTCTGCACTCATGTAGGCGGAATCGACTTGTACTTATGGGCATTACCTTGTTCACACAGTATGATGATCAGTATGCATTCACTCAATCTGCGAAACGATCATATATCATTCATTTTCATTCATCATTTTACGTTGATGCTATGGCAGACGCAGAGTATCCAATACATTGTCCATGTCGCGCAGTGGTTGCGCGTCAAAACACAGGGTCTCGCGTCGCCCCACCATCCGCCTCGCAACGAAGGGTACGCGCGCCTAGACTCCAAGTGTCGACCCAGATTCCTCTCTCTGCCACCTAGCATGTTCTTTGTGTGTGTATGTCAAGATTCAACCCGAACTTCCATACCGAAATGTGTGTTGTTTGCGCAAAGGGTGACTTGAAGCGAAAAAGTCAGCATGCGTGACCAAAGGCGGTGTGAATTGGGGGCGAACAGGCGCGAAAAACTCACCAAGAGACAAAGAAGAGAGTTTTTGCACATATCCCCCTTAATCCTTCATCTGGTCATCAGGGTCGACAAAGTCCTCGTCGTCATCCTCGTCGTCGTCGCCCTCAAGCTCCTGGTTGGCCTTGCTGAAGTCGATGTTCTTACCGCGCGTGCGGCTGCTTATGATGTTGGATGTCTCAATCTCCTCCATGTTGTCCTCATCGGGCTCTTCGGCTGTTCATGTGTCAGTTGACGAATTGGCTCGAATGTATTCGCGTGTGAGTGGCTTACGTTCACCGACCTGTATGCGATTGTGTTAGCTATTGGCACTGAAAATGGGCCATCATGGGTAAATCGAACGCACCTGATCCTCGGCACCAGACTCATCGCTGGAGTCATCATCCATGGACTCTTCCATCACCTCGCCCTCCTGAGCCTTGCCCTTGCCCTTCACGTCGGTAGTGGGGTCCTGGACACCCTCCATCTGCTGGTTGTCTGGCTGAGCGGACATGTTGAAGGCTTCAAGGATTCGTGTTCAATTCCCAAGAGTCGCAATGAGTTGATTCGATACTCCCAAAAGCGATTGAGGTGTTGGCAGTGAGTTGTTCGTAGCAGCGGTGTAGAGCAACAATTCCAGGTGAAGCGCCCTCCATCTATTCCTTGCGTTGCGGTCTAGCCCAGAACTAATCCAAAACGGGCTGGTCTCCTGGACAACGCCTGCCGTTTGCAGCAAATAGCAAACATTAGCGCGTCGAACGTTGGCCATCAATATTGCCTTATTAACAACCCTTCAGCCACGCCTCACTGCACCAAACGACTCCATTCCACGAAGGCACGAGGATCAGCCCAGATAAGCTCACGATGCCAGGCATTCGTCACACACATGTATTCAATGCACTAGAATAAGTAGAAGAAAATTTTTATCGCGAGGAAATGTTGAAATAACCACTTTTCAAAGGTATCGTAACTTCATCCCACTAACGCTCAGCTGCGCTTTCGTGTCATTTTACATAAGCATCGTCACCATATGCCATTTCGGCAAACCCATCCATCATCCTCTTAGTGGTGGAACAGCCTAATGTGCTGCTCAACAAAGGTGATGCCCAGCTTCTCACTCGTCTCGAAAACGGCGCCATCATTCTGGCTACCTGTGGGTGCAGCAATGTACTTGGCTCCACTCCTGTGCGCTCTGAAGACGTTGTCGATAAAAGGGAAGAAAGCGTCGGAGCTGACTGCTACGCTCTCCATCTTTGACAACCATTCCTTACGCTCTTCAGCCGTGAAAGGTTGGGGCACATGGCCCTCCTCAAAGTGCGCCTCGAAGTCCTCGCGCTCAATGCCTGACTCTGGAACAAGACCTGAGCAGAGGAGATCAATGGCATTAGACTTGGAGGGGCGCTTAGTTCCCTTCTTGAAGTTGAGGTTGAGCGTCTTTGAGTGGAAACGCATCCACCAGTTGTCGGCTTTATCACCAGCAAGACGAGTGCAGTGGATACGTGCTGTTGTGTGTCAGCGTATGCCCCAATTTTGAATTTGAATAAGACTTACATTGCTGACCAGCTCCAAGACCAATGAGTTGGCCGTTGAGCGCATAGCACACACTGTTTGACTGAGTGTACTTGAGAGCAATAGTAGCGACGGTAAGATCGCGCTGAGCTGATTCTGGCAGAGGAGGAGAGTTCTTAGGCACAATGACGGTGTTGAATGTGTCAGAAGGAAGGATCTTGGCGTCGTTGCGGTGTTGCTTGAGCGTGATGCCGAACACGGTCCTAGATTCTTCTGGGCCTGGAACGTATTCAGGGTCCATCTGGAGAACCAGGTACTTTCCACCCTTCTTCTTCTTCAGGATCTCTAGGGCTTCGGCGGTGTAGCCAGGGGCAATAACACCGTCAGAAACTTCACGGCTGATGATCTTGGCGGTTGGGACCTGTATTCTGTCAGTCATTGAGTCAAAGCGATTATTCGACAATTACTCACATCAACCTCGGCCGACAGAGCAATCATGTCACCAAAACTTGACATCCTGTCGGCACCACGGGCTCTCGCATATGCCTGTGCCAGTCCTGAAGTCTCGATGCCCTCAATGTCATCAACCATATATACCTTGCGCTCTACCTCGCTGAGTGGGACTCCGATGGCTGCACCGGCAGGTGAGACGTGCTTGAAGCTGGCAGCAGCTGGGTAATTCAGTGCCTTGGTCAGCTCCTGCACGAGCGGCCATGCGTTGAGCGCGTCGAGCAAGTTGATGTATCCCGGAGAACCGCAGAGCACTTTGAATGGCAGCGGCTTCTCTGCCATGGAGACAGTTGCGGGTTTTTGGTGAGGGTTCGCACCATATCGGAGGGTCTGGTACTGGACACCGTCACCCGCGTACTTCTTCCTGAAGAACTCTGAAATAGCGGTATCGTATGAGGAAGTCTGCTCGAAAGCCTTCAGTGCATAACGCTGCCTGCTGGTCTCTGAGACCTCGCCGTTCTTCTTGAGCTCGGTGAGGAGGTCATGGTAGTCGTTGGGGTCGCTGATGATAGTGACGCGGGCGTGGTTCTTTGCGGCGGCCCTGAGCAGAGTCACACCTCCAATGTCGATTTCCTCAACTGCTTCTGGGATTGTGACGTTGATACGAGCGACCGTCTCAGAAAAGGGGTACAGGTTGCAAACAACAAAGTCAATCTTGTCAATGCTGTTTGCAGAGAGATCAGAATCGTCCGAGTCGAGGTCGCGTGCGAGAATGCCGCCATGAACAGCAGGGTGCAGCGTCTTGACACGCCCACCGAGCATTTCAGGCGCCTTAGTAATGGCAGAGACATCTTCTACCGGGAAGTTGGCCTGGCGGATCATCTTGGCTGTACCGCCAGACGCAAGTAGGCGGACACCGCATTCGTGCAGTCCCTTGGCCAGGTCAAGAAGACCGGTCTTGTCGTATACGGACAGAATGGCTGTCGCATCCCATTAATGATTTTGATTTTTTAGATCTGGTTATCGATCTTGCTCACCTGTCTTTTGGCCGCCCATATTGACTGATTGTATGAGAATCTACGAATCAATTGAAAAGTTACAGACTGCTCAAAGTCAGATCTGGGGTACAAAGCAGTGGCGCAAGAGACTGTGGAGATTTTTTTGGCGTCGCGGGGCTCAAGACTGACCTCATTTTGCTGCCCCTCCATAGCGCCGGTCCGATTGGCCAAAGCTCCTCCACTCTGCAAACTACTACATGCCCAACACGGCTGGGCTATCCCAGCGCGCGTCGTTTATCGCCGCTATTATGTCGTAGCCAGTGTCGCAAGAAGGAGTCAGCAATGCTACAAGAGCTTTTTCTCCGGTTTCTGGTGCTTTCACAAGGTGAAGTCAAGTAGCCAATCACCAGAATTAACAAAGGATGGCTCATGTCTCGGCTCTCCTTTCCAACTTATCGATAACGCGCATTAGATCTTATTCCATATACCTCGGATACTACATCTGATCTCTATCGTGATCTCACGTTCTTTGCTCTTCTATACAGGGATTTCTTAGATAACATCAAACGAAGTTACATCTTACAACGGGGTGCCGGCCACTCCATCGTACGGCTGACTTCACAACGCGGCTTACATAGCCAACACAGTACAACTCCGACAGCATCATGGCAGAGGCTCTGAACACCGAGGACCTCGTCAGTCACCTCCAATCTGTACTGCTTGAGCTCAACGCCAACCCCTATCCAGACGTCGCATGTCCACCAGATTTACCGAAACGCGCTTCGGTAGCTCTGATCTTACGCATACAACCCAGTTACGCACATTGGCCCAACAGCTCCGATAGTCCACTACCGAAGCGACGCAGACGCTCCTCGGCTGCAAAGCCCGCAGATGAGTTCGACTTTGAGTCCTCCTTGAGTGCCTTCTTCAATCAGGAATGGGTCAAGCACGGTGACCCGGAACTACTTTTCATAAAGCGGGCTACAAGGATTGGTGACAAATGGAATGGACATGTCGCGCTACCTGGTGGAAAACGAGATCCCGAGGATAGCGACGACCAAGTCACAGCTGCGCGCGAAGCGCTCGAGGAAGTCGGTGTTGATCTGAGCCCCGATAATGCAATCGCCGTGGGCAACCTGCCTCAGCGCATCGTTACGACGAGCTGGGGTAAAGTACCGTACGTTAAATTCTTGTAGAACCAGGCTCAGTCTCGCCTTGTGACGGCGGATGGTAAAGACATATTGTGAGTATCAAGGCTAATCCTGGTCCATAGGCTCATGGTTCTATGTCCTTACATCTACCTTCTAACCTCACCCTTCTACCCACCACAACGTCTGCAGCCCACCGAGGTAGCATCTTCCCACTGGGTCCCCATCCGCGCACTCCTTTCGCCTGCACTACGCACACACGAATACGCCGATGTCTCAGCACGTCTAGCAAAGTCGGAACTAGGTATCAAGCGTTGGTTCCTGCAGGCCATGCTAAGCAAAATGATGTTTGCAGCGATACAGCTGGTCCCCGCGAATTCGACACATTGCGCGACCATCCCGGACTTTATACCCATCGACGAAGAATCGCAGGGTATACTGAGCCATGTGAGAGATGCCCTGGCAGGACCCGCCTCGCGATCCAAAGACCGCAAACCACCGCTGTTACTCTGGGGCTTGACACTCGGCGTTGTAAGCGACTTTCTCGAGCACATACCTCCTCATAATGCGCTGGAACTATGGACGTATCCTACCTTTACCAGTTGGGACGTCAGAGCGATACTATGGGCAATGTCGTATCGCTTCCGGAAACAGAAAGCCGTGGAAATGAGCTCAGCCGTGTCCAGTGTATCAGACACGAGCGAAGGTCCTACACAAGATCTACCCGGAATAGGTAGCGAAGCTGTAGGTTCTTTGGAAGAACAAGAGAAGCCAGGGGAAGTGGGTATAGCGGGGTTGGGCGTGGGAAGGACATGGGGACAGAGCGGCAGAAGCAAGATTATGGCCAGAGGTGCTGCCGTCAATTCTATGCTAGAAGGTTACTACCCCATTATCAGGCATGCTGTAACAGCAGCGCTGGTCGTCAGGATAGGTGTTGTGGGGTTAGCGGCTTTCTTGACTTCGAAGAAACTGGGGCCTGCTCCGTTCGAGATGGTCAAGTCGCTTGTTTCTAGATAGACTCAATGTATACATTTGTTTAAGACAATGATGTTTTTACGGCGAGTCTCAAAGTTACCTTCTTTATCAAGTGTTCATCCCAGATCCCTCGTAGATTTGATACCTGGACCGTGTTTCCTTGATATGTTGAAGAACAGGGAACTCAAGATAGCGCGATGTGATTTTCTACAACTACGCATCTGCACTGCAAAATAAAGAATGCTTCAGCATTAGAAGTCAGGCCCATATATATTGATATGCGGGGTATCTTTTGTGGGTACAAAGAGATTTTGACCATTGCTTTAATGCTGCGGAAATTTTGAATGATTCTGCAGACTAGTCCATACATCCAATTCAATAAAAGATTACGGCTACACAACGTAGTTTCTAGCAGGACTAGCAGCAGTAGCTCATTTCTACCTTTGATGGTTCTCAGATAGTGTTGGCAGCTGTCTCAATCTTTTGGTGGAGGTGCCAAGGTTCGGTGGGTGACGTCACGCGCCCTCTGTCCCCAGACTCGGTAGAATAGCAGGCAGCAAAGATTACTCGACCCCTCAAACCTCTTTGTAAGCCATCTCTCGCCATGGCCCGGTAACAATTCAATTGCAAAGATGTTACCTCGCTCGGGCTGGCATCATGCTGGCTGCCGTCCATTGCATGGACCAATAAGGTAGATTGAAGAAATTTGATCCTAGCAGGCGATCATTGTGAAAGTACTAACAAACCATCAGGACAGTGTCCCCACGGGTCGTGGCAACATGGGGATCACCAAGGACAGGCTTATACAGGTCGTCATCTAGCTCAACTCAACGACTCACCGGCCTGCAGGCTGGAGAGGACAATACTGGCCATATCAGTGCTGGCCCAAACGAGGGCATCCTCTTCTTTAACAATGTCTTTCCTATCCAGATACGCAAAATACTGGGGCTTCCTATGCCGCGCATCTTCAACCGGTTGGTTAGTCCCACCGTATCCGGTACAGATCCAAAAACTGTTATTGAGAGAGCAAAAGCGAAGCGAAATCTGCAAATTACCGGTACCGAAGTGCTCCCTCGTATGCGAGAAGGTGGGGCATTTGTCAAGTTTACTCATGATGGAAGTGCGTCAACCTCCGAGATCGAAAAGACCTTGCAACAGTACTTAGAAGACGAGCCTGTGAAGCCATGGTGGGGCCCGTGGAATCAAATGCACGCGAAAGCAGTCAAGGGAAGACCTTGGGTGGAAGATCTGATGCGTCTGCCTGCCACTCGTTTACGCGTTGAGTTTGTGTCTGGTGAACCTGGAGCGCCTGCTACTGAAGTAGCTGAGCTGAGCCAAGAGCAACTCTTCCAGTTTTTCAGGCCCTACGGAAAGCTGAGTGACATTGTCATGCAACCTCCAGACTCCAAAGTCCTTCCAAAGTTTGCCTATTTGGACTATACTAGTATAGGCAAAGCTATCATGGCTAGAAATTGCATGCATGGATATCTCGTGTCGGAAGCCGAGGGGGGTGGAAAGAAAGGCACAATCTTGAGGCTCAAGTATGAGCAAAAGATCAAGCCCCGCTATATCAGAGACTGGATTATCAACCATCCGCGTATCGTCATACCTATCGTGGCTGCTCTTATTGCAGGTTTCGTTGCTGTCGTTTTTGATCCGTAAGTCTTCTAACTACTCCGTCCTGCTCCAATCTAACAAAAAACTTAAAGCATTCGGACATTCTTTGTCAAGGCTCACATCACACGAAATTTCCACATACAAGATAATAAGTTATATCAATGGATCAAAGGCTACGCTACAGACATTATCAATAGAGGAAAGAAGCACAACGATGACGATGGTATGGATGCTATATGGGACGACCGAAAGGACAACATCGAGCAGATTCAGACCTGGCTGATGGAGACTGCTGATACCTTCATTATCGTACGAGGCCCCCGTGGCTCTGGCAAGCGTGAGCTAGTGGTAGATCAGGCACTACATGATAAGAAGGTGAAACTCGTCATCGACTGCAAACCTATTCAAGAAGCCCGAGGAGAAAGCGCTACCATCAACGCTGCTGCTTTGTCCGTTGGCTATAGGCCCGTGTTTAGCTGGATGAATAGCATCAGTGGTATGATCGATATGGCTGCACAAGGTGCCACAGGCGTCAAGACCGGCTTTTCCGAAACTCTCGATTCTCAGCTCAGCAAGATTTGGAACACGACGACTTTGGCTCTTAGACAAATCGCTCTGGATACTCGCCACAAGAACGACAAGGACGCGCACCTGCCAGATGACGAATGGCTTGAGGCACACCCAGAACGCCGTCCTGTGGTTGTGATTGACAACTTTCTGCACAAGAGCCAAGAAGGTGGTATCGTTTATGATAAGATTGCAGAATGGGCAGCCCAACTCACCACAACAAACACTGCTCATGTAATCTTCCTGACAAACGATGTTGCGTACAACAAGTCACTGTCCAAAGCTTTGCCCGATCGAATGTTCCGCCAAATCTCGCTCTCAGACTGCAGTCCAGAAGTAGCGAAGCGCTTTGTAGTAACCCACCTTGATGCAGATGTCGACGATGACCCCATGCCAAAGGACGGATCACCTAAGAAAGTACCATCAGAGCATCGCAATGATCTTGGAGAGCTCGACACCTGCATCGGCTTGTTGGGTGGGCGGCTTACTGATCTAGAGTTCTTGTCACGGCGCATTAAGACTGGCGAGACTCCCACTAAAGCAGTGCATGAGATCATTGACCAGTCGGCGTCTGAAATCCTCAAAATGTACATCTTTGGCGCAGAAGACGAGAATGGAAACCGTCACTGGAACGCTGAGCAGGCTTGGTTCCTTATCAAGGAGCTCGCACAAAAGGAGTCTCTACGATACAATGAGATTCTTGTCGACGATATGCTCAAGACGGGTGGCGAGTCTGTTCTTCGGGCTCTCGAACAAGCAGAACTCATCACGATTGATTCTGGCGCAAATGGCAGACCTTCCACCATCGGACCTGGCAAGCCCGTGTATCTTCCGGCATTTAAGCGCTTGACTGAGGACAAGGTGCTCAAGAGCCGCCTAGACTTGGCTATCCTGACGCATCTGACCAAGATTGAGACTGCGACAATCGAAAAGTGCGAGAATGAGTTGCTGCTGCTGAGCCAGCTAAGGAACCAGCCTGCACAAACTGCAGGGAGAGTGACTTACTTATTGGCGAAGCTGATGACTAGCCAGGGCAAGGTGGAGAAATATGAGGTGGAAATGAAGGGACTGAAGAAGGTACTTGGCAGCGAATATTAGTAGTATTGTGGGCACTGAAAAGCATGTGCAAACGTATATAGTGATGCCGCTCTCATCTCTTCATACCGCGATACTACAACCTGTGCTGTTTGTGTGCTGTTCGATGACCCCGGATGTTCACCGTCCACTGATGCGGCGGGCTCTCAAGTGCAACGTAGGGTGGGCGGATACCACGCATGGTGTAGCGGGCTACTATGGTGAAAGCATGTGCATATTTCTGCTGAAGCCGTGCCGAGCTCTGTCGGCCTAGGGACATGGTCACGTTTTACGACTGACATCACCCGGCCAAGGGCTAAGAATGTGACGGCACCGAGGATCGGGCAGAAGGGAGCATTTTCCCGTACAGAAGCTTGGACCTGCCAACAACCGAGCGACGAGCGACCTTGAACTCCACCTCACCCATACTTGCGACTGTCCATTGCCATTGCGCGACTAGCCGTGCTGAATTCTCTCCGGATCGCGCGTCTTCCTCGTCTTCCTCGTCCCCTCCATTTCCCTTCATTCCATCACGACAATTTTCTTCACAACCCGGCGCAATGGCACCCTTAACAGATACCGTGGTCGATGACCTCAAGAGCACCGTCAACCGCCTCGAGAAGCGCATCGCTGAGCTGGAGAACAAGTTGTCTGGCCATGGCGGACAACCGTCATCGCAAGAAAGCATAAGGATGATCCTTATGGGACCACCGGGTGCTGGTGAGAAGATATGCCGAGGATAGTCAAAATGTGGCATGTGGCTTACACAGAGCATAGGCAAGGGCACGCAAGCACCGCGAATCAAGGAGAAGTTCTGCGCATGCCATCTTGTACGTTATGCATCATCTGCTGCTTCGGATTCTGCGCGGCACAAAGAGAGACGGAGGCGCTAACAACATATAGGCCACTGGAGACATGCTGCGCGCGCAGGTCGCAGCGAAGACGGCCCTCGGTCGGGAAGCAAAGAAGATTATGGATGCTGGTGGCCTAGTTAGCGACGAGATCATGATCAACATGATCAAGACGGAGCTCGAGACCAACCAGGAGTGCTCCAAGGGGTAGGTTTTGCCCTGATGTTCGATTGAAGCATATATTGCGAGCGTATACTAAGGCTACCATGAACAGCTTCATTCTCGACGGTTTCCCACGAACAGTCACCCAAGCCGAGAAGCTCGACGGCATGCTTGCCGCAACTCAGAAGCCCCTCCAACACGCAGTTGAACTGCAAATCGACGACGGTCTGCTCGTCTCGCGTATCACCGGCCGCCTTGTTCACCCCGCATCTGGACGTTCCTACCACAAGATCTTCAACCCACCCAAGTCGCCCATGACCGACGACATCACTGGTGAGCCCCTCATTCAGCGCTCCGATGACAATGCGGAAACTCTCAAGAAGCGTCTTGCAACCTACCACGCCCAGACTGCGCCAGTCGTCGCATACTACCAGAAGACGGGTATCTGGAAGCCCATCGACGCAAGCCAAGAGCCCGGGCAGGTATGGAAGAGCTTGCTCAAGGTTTTTGATAACAAAGCCATGATTAGCGGACAGTCAGGCAGCCTGCTCAACAAGATCGGTCTCAAGAACTAGATCTACGCTTGCCTTTTGACTAAGGCTCTGGTGCTGGACTGGGGGGATATGGATCAACGTGGCGTTACGAAGTATGCCTGCATCGGACCATCAAACACGCGCATTCTTGCAATGTCTCGTCATGTTTCGGTGCCACTTATATAAAAGCCTGCACTTTACGCTTTGGAACGAAGAATGCAGATATGTAACGGATGAATTCTTTGTACTTGTACAGATAAGTTGGAGGGGGGCTTGGGGTTTTATCACTTGTATTCCCTGTGTGTTTCCTAGACTGTGGGTTTTGCATCTAGATAGCGACCCTTAGTTGGAAATACTAAAGACATTCATGACGATGAGATTGTGATTCTAGGACCGTTGCCTTGGTCTATCCTTTGGATTTGCTGATATTCCGAGATATCCTACTCACTTGCGCCATTCAAATAACCGAACACGTGCGACTACTCACAGCCATTGGATTGCAGCCAACGTGTTCCTAAACATCTTGGGGAACCAAACCGTGGCAGGACCGGCGTTAGTACCGTCCAAGCCGTCCTAAGCTCCGAGGGAATCCCTCCCTCCAATCCTCCATTCCCCGAAAACTGTCCACCATCCGCCGCGACAACCGTCCTCGACACCCGATGCGCGAACCGCCGTTGTCTGATTTGACCCAAACTCCACTTTGAACAGAACCATAACCCATGGTTCATATATAGCGGCCTCGAACATACCCACACCCACACACGCAGGTGGCTGCACGACCGCATACCAAGGACCAGGGCATTGAAAGACACCATCTGGCTATTAGAAAAAAAGGAGGAGAGCGCAGCACAACGAGAAATACAAACAACACCACAACACGGCGCGGAACATAATGTCGAACCGCTTCAGCCGCCAAGACGCCCGCGACGACCTCTTCTCCTCATACAACCGCAGCGCCTCACCTTCGAAATCCAAAAACAAATCCCGCGCTTCGCCCTACAGCGGCGGCGGCGGTTACGCCTACACTGCGCCTACGTCGCCAAACGGTAGCCCGGGGTTCGGCGCGTACCCCGGCAGCAACGCAAGCGGGCATGGCAATGGGAATTTATATCCTGGGGGTAGCGGTGGTGGATACGGTGTAGGTAGAGGGAACGATGATGCGATGTTTCGGAGTGCGACGCCGAATTCGCGGGGCCAGTATTCGGCGGCTGTGCTGGATGAGTTGGAGAGTCAGAATGACGAGCATGTGGGTGTTTTGACAAGTAAGGTTAGGATGTTGAAGGATGTATGTTTTTTTGCTCCTCCTCTCTCTCCTCTTTTTTTTTAACCCTTCGTTTTCAGCCGCTATACTGCTGGCATATGAATCCTGGGGGATTCTCTTTTCTTTTCTTTTCTTTTCTTTTCTTTTCTTTTCTTTTCTTTTCTTTTCTTTTCTTTTGGCTAATGAATGATAATAGTTGACACATCTCATCGGCGACGAAATCCGCGATTCTACGTCCCTGGCGGAGAAAATGAACGATCAGTTTGAGAATTCGAGATATAAGATTAAGGGTACCATGACGCGTATGCTGCGTATGGCTGAAAAAACGGGGGTTGGATGGAAGGCTTGGGTTGGCTTCTTTGCGGCTGTTATATTGCTGTTTTGGTGGGTGTGGTTGGGTTGAGTGGGATCCTATATGGTGGGGGTTTATGATACGCTTGCAGAGATGTTTTGTGCGGGGCTTTGTATGGATACGCATGGGAATGGGAGATGGGAGAGAGGTCATTAGAGGTGGTTTTGCATTGCATATTGCATGGCGTTTGGGATGGGATGCTGCGTATTAGGGTTAATCAAGACATTGTGTTCCCGGTTTGCATATTGCTTGGTTGTATGCGGTGCTTGTCATAGTCATCTTGTATCTTATCTAGACCGGTCGAATGACATGCGTGGTTGAAATACTCTCGTTTTTACTATCTTTTGTACAATGAGATAATTGTTGGGTTGAATGATATGGAGAAGCACATTGAACACGAAACGGTAGAAAACAGGAGTTATCAACCAGCCATAAACAAGATATATCTCATGGGCTTTCGAGCGATTCGAGTTCTTGTGTACTTCCTCCACAAATAGGAACAAAACCCTTCCCAGAATAATAATTGCTCACTAGAGCGTGGGTCTGAACGACTTATGCACGGGAATCAAACTTCAAAAGCTTACCCTTCGTATTGTCCTGGATACGTTTAGATGAGTTGTCACATAAAGCACTTCTGCGAAACATTTCATCGCTGCCTTTTATGTAGAAATATAACTCCTAGCACTAATGATGGACTTGATCTTTATACTAGATGAACGCTCTCTATAGGAGATGCTAGCTCATACAGACACGCTATATACTCACAAGCTAATTTCGGTACTATATCTTGCCGTAGTAACATAGGAAGTACTACCGAAAGGGGCTTGGTACGCGTTAGTTAGATATGTAATATAGTGGTATTTGCAGAGGTGTTTTTTTCTCTAACTACTTATTTGTCACCTTAGTGTTCATTTCTTGTCAGCACAAAATGAGAAGATCCATGCAGTGTTTCTGCGGCTACGTATTTAGATAATAGAAGTGACCGAGTGATGATGAGAGCTCGATTGTTTGAAATTTAGTGTCCAGTGTGAGATTGATGAGTTTTGCGACATGGGTGAGGGTAGGCGTGCTGATGTGTTTAATGGGGTACTTTGGTAAGTTGGATGATCGTCTCTGCGCAAGAAGAATCAAGCATTTACAAGGAGATAAGGTGTTTGGTTTAGACTAAGATTGATTCAGAATTGCTGGGGCAGAGCTGTAAGTGTCTGCAAAAGCAGATAGTTTCATTTGGAGCTATTGACCTTTCTTCAATGAAAAATGAAGAAATTGTTCGTATCTGTATTTTCAACATGTCCTAGCTGCGATAGATGAAACAGCTCGGGGCTATAGTGCGTTATTTTGGGGTTCTTGCTATATTTTAAGTTGAAATGAACACGACAAGCCAGCTGCTGTGATGACATATCTCGAGTACGGTTTAGCCAAACTCAGTAGTTGGACACACGTAAGTCTTGAGGCGACGAGACCCTGAACTCTCTGTCTTGCTGGCCCCCAAATCGATTTGAACGATGATCGACCATGTCTGGTACGATTTATCAGAGATTTGTGTTCTGTTTCGAGGGTATGCACTTCGTGGCTAGGTCCAAGCGAAGATTTATGTAAAGAATAAGGCGAGAGAAACGCTTCATTGGCTCAAGAAACCAGATATGGGAAACAACAAAAGACTTTATACCCATGAATAATGCTTTTTTTGATATAGCCGGATGACGGATGATGTGGCAGAAGGAAAAAGCCACCCCGCCCGGACCGAGAGAGGGTGGCTTAGGTATTCACTAGCACGTGCTTGCTTCGCAGCGGGGTAGAAACTACCACTTTCTGGGTAGCCCCACATCCAGGATATACGACAGCCATACCGCCATGCAGAGTACTTCTTGTTTGGGACCGCAGCGATCCTTTTTTTGGAACATCGTCTCATCCCTACGGGCCGCAAGGACCATACCCGTCTTGTTGTACTGGATATACGACATCCCAAGATCTCTCTCAACAGACGTCATGAAGAGGGGATGCTCCGTGAGAGCCCTGGTATAGGTATAGTTAGGGCGGAAGCTCGTGTCTGTCAAGTAAGCTGATTCGAAGACCACAGTTATGCTTAAAGTTGGAAGTGAGGGGGCTTAGTTACTATGCGCCTAGGAAAGTCCTTGTCGCATTTGTGATCAACAAGCCCCGTGTTCTCCAACTGACTTGGTCGTAACGACATCTCCAACGAAGATCACACACTATCATTCCCTTGCAAGTCTTTTCGTGGTTAGTTTGCAACTTTACTGAAGTCGGTCAAATCTGTGAATCTTCGGATATCTTGCTATCCCTCGAGTGCGTACTACACAACTGCCAACACCGGATATACACCCGGCCAAGACTTGGGCTCTCAGCACAACACCCAAACTCTACCCGTAAAGGCATCGCCAATCACAAAGTAAGAATTTAGGTAGTTTACTGTCCACACGTACGCCAAGTCCTACACCCTGCGCCACGCGTCGCGTCAGACACGCCCAATGAAAAAGGCCCAAGTGATCTCACTCGCCAAGAACTTTACCAAAACCCAACGATCGTCACAGGCGTAGGAGTCTAGTCACATCGCCAAGATACCCCAAGAGTTTTTACATGGCTGACGAAGTCCGAGGGCACAACCCGTGTGATGGCAAGTACGAAGACGTTTTGGTCACGGTGCTCTCGGATGACTACGCAACGGACGTGGCTGACGTCTAACCTTGTGCTCTCCGCCAAAAAAACAAGGCATGATGAAGACGATCGTATACATATAAGTATACCGTACCCAAAGTGAGAAAACGCCAGAACAACAACAGCATCTCCACACCCATTACAATCTCTTCGCTTACCACTCCGGCCTCGACTATCTACTACCTACCAGCATGATTTTCTCACACATCATTTCGCTCGTACTGCGAGTTTCACAGTTCGTGTTTGCGGCCATCGTTCTTGGCCTGACAGCCTACTTTGTCTACAAGATTGAAAACCCAGATCGTGGGCCCCGTGGCCGTCGTGACCGTCGTGACCGTTGGGATGACGATGACCGTTGGGACAACGACCGTTGGCGTGACCGTTGGGATGCTACCCGCTGGAGGGACGATGATGACCGGGACCCTCTTGGTCGACTGATTTTTGCTCTTGTCTGGTCGTCTCTTTCTATCATCTTCGCTGTTATCTGGGCTATTCCCACGACGTTTGCTATGAAGGGATTTATTTCAGACTTCAGTAAGTTGATCTTATCCCCTTTTGGTACATCTCAGTGGTATGCTAATGGCAATGTTTTAGTCTTCACAGCAGGTTGGGCTGCCGTCTTCGGACTACTCGTCGACTGGTTCAACGACGCCAACTGCGGTAGCCCATGGGCATGGGGCGGTCTGTCACTGAGGCGCGGTGATACCTGCGGCCAATGGCGTGCTGCCCAGGCCTTCTCTTTCTTGTCCTTGATCGTCTGGTTTGCAACTGGCATCCTCGGCATTATTATGGTGCTCCGCCTGAGACGCCGCGCGGCAGCAGCGTAAGTTCTTTTATTTACAGCCCGACAACACAAATCGCAAATACTAACGTCATCCTAGTAAAAACTCCCGCGTTTAATCGGTCCATTGGACTGCCACTGGTAGTCTATGGCGGTGTTTACACTACACTAATACGGTGTAGATGTTTACCAAAGGGCCGAATGAGGATGGAAGACAGCGCACCATCCTTGTTCAGGATGCTGTCGCTCAACCTTGCTTCAGAGAATGATCCTCTACGTACGTGTCGATATGAAAACGGCACTATCCATCTACTGTTCAGCGAGGCGTTTTATCGGGTTTCATGTTGAGTTTGTTATGAGTAATCGGTGTAGCTGTTCTACGAGTATGACATATGCAACCGAAATGATATCTTATTCTTGAACTATTGAATGCTTGCTGTGAGGATGCGCACTCGATTTATATCGTGTTTGTATTGCAGTTTCTGTCCAATATCTGTATCAATGATTAGTGAGGTACATGTTGGTACCAAACATACCAGTCTTTCCAAACGAGTGATTAGACTCTGAATAATACTATAGCCCTGTTGCGACAACGTATGTACCAAATCTGTTCTGGTGATCGTTCCTTTTTGTCTGTTTCGTTGGCGCAGGTGGTGTTAATGTCCACCACGAAAATAGACTAAATCCGCATCGAGGTCCTGAAATTACTCCATATCGCATATGCACACCAGATATTTTATACGCAACCAACATATCATTGCACGAATGGACCTTGGAGATACTGACTCAGTGTAATTGCACTTAGCGGCCTCGCTCAGCGTAGTAAGCAGCTTACACATCAGTCAAACCACAACTTTGCCTAGTTACATAACTGTCACATAAGCAAAAAGCACCAAATTGCTTATTCAGGTATTATGAGAAACCTTTCTCAGTTAGCTAACGGAGATAGCGTTGTTTATCCCCTTGACCGCATCATCAGTAGTGGCTCTCCACTATATGCAGAATATGAAAAGGAGCAAACCTTCGCTTTTACGATCAAGTCTACAACTGGAATGGAATCAAGCAAAATGACCGACGTTGAAGCTTCTCGAGTGCATATCGGGATGCGTCAAAGGAAAAAATCGCGAAAGAATCTGGCTATAGCTTCGAGGCCGTTTGCTGGGAGAATTGGCGGCAACCAAGAGTTTACAGTACCAGCAGATGACGCTTCTGCGAACCTACTTCCGGATGCAGCAGCAGTGTTTTCATGGCGCCAGTCGTTTTCTCCACGCGCATTTGCTGACATAGAGCTATGGAAACAATCATTCATCGAAGGTGTAGGAACATGTCTGCAAACCTACCTCTCCGGCCTCGCTTCCGTTGGTCTCGGTTCCCTCGTTACAGCAACGGCGTTGGGACCCGTTGCGCCAGCTGCGTTTGGGAGCATTGTGACTGGGACACTGATTGCGCTGTTTATTTTTGGGGCTGGGCCGGTATCCGGAGCGCATTTCAACCCGACAATTTCCATGGCGACTTTCACGGCGGGGCTGTCTATCTTTCCTAGGACGTTGCTGTATATTGTTTTTCAGAGTGCTGGGGCCGTGGTGGCTGGCACTCTGGTCCGAGCGAGCTTGGGGATGAGGCCGCATGATATTCCGCCTATACCGGGATGTTATATTGACACTGATCTGGTCACACCGGGCGAAGCGTAAGTTTGGAAGTTGTGATTTTCTTTGCGATTGTTGACTTTACAGATATGTTTTGGAGACTATGACGTCCTTTGGGCTGATATTTGTTGCCTTTGGAGTGGGCCTTGATCCTAGGCAGAGAGAAGTCTTTGGGCCAGCTTTGTCGCCAATTCTAGTATGTACCTTTAACATTTATTTATGGCGCGTTACCGCAAAGCTAAAAGTACTAAAAGGTTGGTCTGACACAAACTGTGTGTACATTTGTCTCCTCGATAGTACGGCCTGGATACAGCGGAGCTTGTAGGTTTACTCTGTTGATATGTGAGAAGTCCAGGTTAGCTTATAGTCATCAGCATGCAATCCAGCGCGGTGCTTTGGTCTTATGGTTGCAACGAGTAGGTATTCTCAGTTCTTCCTGCTATCACTTCTAGCTCACAATTCTTTAGATCGCTTCGATTATCACTACATTCATTGGGTAGGACCGATGACGACAGCGATGATGAATGGGATGTTGTATTGGGCGATTCCGATATACAAGTCTAAGGAGTAGACAAGGGGGTCTACCATGGCAACGTCAAGAGCTTATTTGCAACGCGGAACCGCAACTTCAAGGATGGTAGAAATTAGAAGAAAAAACTATATAGTATCAATTGAAGCGACAACCGTGAACTATGCGTATCTTGGCGGCGCCTGTGTGGGTCTGGTCGCATCGCTCCTTCCACCGGCAGTGGTTGGCGCTAAAGTAGACTAGCGCCTCGCTTGCAACCCACGCTCCTGCTCTGAAAATCGGAAGTCGACATCACGAACTTTCAACGACTCCGACCAGACATCAAGCCGTCAAAATGTCCGCCAACTCGCTGAACAAGATCGCGCCCAACAGCCCTTCCAGGCAGAACCCTTCTGAGATCGAGACCAGCATCGCTAGCGCAAGTGACCCTGCTCAATTGTGCGCACCGGCGGCAGCATTGCTAACACATGCGACAGGCGTTGACTGACCTCGAGAACAATGTCCCTGACCTGAAGGCTTCTCTGCGCCCTCTGCAGTTTGTCTCTGCTCGCGAGGTATGATAGACCCGAATCCGTCGACGATGCGCTCTCGAGCGTCGCCAGCACACGCACCTACACCCATACCCTACAATCTGAAGAGGCGGTGGGCACTGGGCAGCAACAATACGCTGACACCAGGATTCTTAGATCGAGGTTGGCCACGGACGCAAGGCTATTGTCATCTTCGTCCCGGTTCCCCTTCTCTCCAACTGGCACAAGGCCCAGCAGCGGTATGCTTTTCACGACAAGCCCTACCAAGACTTGCATTGACAATATCCAGCCTCACCCGTGAGCTCGAGAAGAAGTTCTCCGACCGCCACGTCCTGATCGTTGCTTCCCGCCGCATTCTCCCCCGCCCCAAGCGTTCCAACCGCTCCCGCACCTCTCAGACCCAGAAGCGTCCCCAGTCACGAACTCTCACTGCTGTCCACGACGCCATCCTGACCGATCTTGTCTACCCCGTCGAGATTGTTGGCAAGCGTCTCCGTACCCGCGAGGACGGCAGCAAGATCCTCAAGGTTGTTCTCGATGAGAAGGAGCGTGGTGGTGTCGACTACAGGCTCGATACCTACAGCGAGGTCTACAAGCGCCTCACTGGCAAGGGTGTCAACTTCGAGTTCCCTCAGAGCCAGCAGACCGATTACTAAGTGTAGACGGGTTGTTGGGTAAGGTCTCGTTATATCTACATGGTTCAGGAGTACGGCAGGGCTTCGGATATGCATCATGTACCGGCATCAAAAAGGAATGTGAATGAGATGACATGAGCCTGTAATGGGCGCCTCTTCAAGATACCACTGCAATTGATTTTCATTAGTGTGATGGCTGTGCTTTGGCAATGACTAGTGTTTCTAAGACCGGTCAAGCTCCGGGTAATGCCTGAAGATCCCCATGCTAAACGGCAGCCTTCTCTCACTCTCTAGGTACTCCTTCACACCCTTGGTCTGCGCCACGCTTTCGTAAAAGGAACCAAGCAGTAACGGGTAATCCTTCTCTCTAGCTTTGAGCTCATTGGGGTAGGCAAACTTGAGGCCGCTCAGGACGTGCCAGAGGGTGGTGTCGGCATAGGTTAGTTTGTTGCCAACGAGGAACTTGACTTGTCCTTGGGCTTCATTGGCTTTCAAAACGCGCTCGAAGAAAGAGAAGAATTTTGGAATGCGGTTCTCGCGGAAGTCTGTGGCCTTTTTGAGGGCCTCGTCCTTTTGGTCCTCATAGTACTGGGCCACAGCCACGGGGTGGTGGGTGTCGTGAGTTTCGTTGTTGAGATCCAGGGCGGTGAGGGTGTGGGATAAGACAGTCATCTTGTCCACCTCATCTTCGCCAGCGAGGCCCAGCTTGTCGCCGAGATATGAGAGGATGGCTGGGGTCTGGTAGATGAGCAGAGGCGCACCATCCTTGCCTTCGCCAGGCACCTTGAGCGCAGGTGGGGCGAAGACGGGCGGGTTGCCATCTCCGCCTAGGTCGTCTTTCGAGATCAAAGAAGCGACGACTTTCGCGCCCGCTGTTTCGGAAGAAATAGTTAGCCTGGCCTGTATATGAAGTGTTGGAGAGTATGCGTACGTCCATCAGGCTCATTGGCGGGGTCCTTGTAAGAGACACCTGCTGCCTCAAAGGCCAGTCGGATGAACTCGCCGCGTCCAGGAATACCTGGCCAGTACAGTAGTTCATAGGGCGGGTGAGTACGTGCTTTCTTGGTTGTCGCCATTCTGGATGTGCAGCGGCGAAGAGTAATGAAAGTCTGAAGATGATACTTCGGAAGCTGTAAGAAGCTATGCACGGGGTGGAGAAGCCGAGGATAGACGTGTAGCATTCAGTTGCTCATGCGATGAGCGTGCAACAGCTCGATTCGAGGTATACTTATACGTATTACAGGCAGCAGCACATTGCCCCATGTGCTCTCATTGCATGCAAGTCTGGTGGCTCCTGGTGGCTCCTGGTGAGCTTCATGATAGGTTGCTGGCGTCATTGCGGGGAACGTTGGTGAGTGAGGACGTGGGACGTTGCCGATTAGGCACATAGGAAAGCGAACAATGCGACGGCATGCTCCGTTCCAGAATTGAACACCATTTGTACACGTGCAAACATGTTGGAATTACAGGCCACGGCCAACACACTCTATGCCATGAATAGCAACACGAGCGGTTAGCAATTCATGCAGCCAGTTCCTTGCTGCGGCCTCACCCTCTTGTTTGGTAGATAGCAAAAACCCCAATCAGCCCATGACAGTTTTACCAGCACTCAAGAACAATGGCTGTGACGGGGCAACTCGAGGGACAGTAGACCACCATGACCGTTTCTGCTGACACTCACGGTATGTGTTCGACGATAAGCATCCAAGTACGCTCGCCTACACCTCTGCTCACGGCCCACTGCAGCCGCCCTTGTGCGTGAAAATGACTGCGCCATGCTGAGTGGTACGTTACACCACACCTGGGGAATAGATGGGCGCTTACGTTCACCCACAAACATCAGCATTGCATCCGTCTGGTATTCAGAGTGTTTGTTATCCAGCGCCTTGTTCCTGAGCAACTGATTGTCAGTCCGACGCAGCACGAGCAAGCAAAGCGAGGCTCCGTTTGTCAAGGGGGGGCTGACTGAACGCCCTAGTCCCCCTTCCGTTACTGCAACCCACCCCCAAGGCACACCTGAACAGTGCTGCCTCTCCATTCTGAACTACTATTGACCACGACAATCCTAGGTGCGCGCCAGAATGTTTGAACCAAACCATTACGGTAGCTTCAAGGAGCAGATGCAGAGGTTCCGCGCGTCGGACGAAGCGAGAGAGCAGTTTGTTAGCGTATGTCGCGCCATCGCCCCGGCCCCGTGTCCACGTCCCTACCCCTACCCTTCCTTACTAAGAGCTGGGAAACAGGAGCTTGTAGCCAAATACGAGGCTTTGTCCGATCAATATTCCGAATTGAAGAGTGACTACTTGAGTGAAAGAGATAACCGAAGAAACTATCAAAAAACGCTTGAAGAGAAATTGGCCTTGGTGGCCGACTGCGAACGTCAGCTGGTAGGTTGCAATATCAGCCTTGCATAGTTGCCTTCTCATGTTCCAAACAGGATGCGGGTTCCTTTGTATTGGCACTTATTGATGGAGACGGGGCTATTGTAAGTAATTCCTATCATTTGCTTTGTTATTGCACTTGCTTTGAGTCGACTAAATGCCTGGGGTCTGCCTACACTTCGTTCCTTGCCCATAGCGGCAGTCATTCACAGACCATCTACTTACGCTAGCGCCGGTTGTTGCTCTACTGGTTTCTACTTGTTGAACCAGCTGCTGAAACTCTTCATATAGTTTCAAAATGCACTACTCCAAGCTGCTGATGGTGATGGCGGCTCCGAAGCCGCCTCTCGCTTGTATCATGCGATTTGCGATCACATTGCCTCGCTATACAACAACTCAAGCAACTGGGCTGTTGTGGTCAAGATTTATCTAAGTCTCGATAAACTCGCAATCAAGTTGGCCACGGTCGGTCTTTTACGTTCTCCCTCGGATTTACGAAGTTTTGTCCAGCACTTCAATGTAAATCAGCCTTTGTTTAATATCGTCGACGTTGGTCACGGCAAGGAAAGAGCCGACCACAAGATTAAGGGTATCATTGGTCATACTCCTGCTACGTGCCGCACACGCTGACTGGTCGTAACAGAAACGCTTCGCGTCTTTATTGACAATCCTACCTGTCGGCACATCATCTTCGGTGGCTGTCACGACGCAGGCTATCTTTTAAACTTCTAGCCTTTCAAGCACAACTTGCTCAAAGCTAGCCGCATTACCCTTCTCGAGACTACACCTGCATACGCAGGGTTCAACACACTGACCAACTTTAGACGCACTCGCTTCGATAACGTCTTTAGAGCGGAGCAATTGCCTGAAAATCCGCGGGGCATCAATAGTGTTAGTCAGGCACCGTCACAGCCTCCAGCACAGCCCGTTGTTCGTCCAATTACTATCAACCCCAGTAATTCGCCTTCTGTTACTTCAAGAACATCTGTGGCTTCACCTGTTCCTAGCGTAGCCTCAACATCGATTGTGGAGCCTAACGATTCAAATGGAGAACCATCTTGGGGTAAGTAAATTCATGACAATATGTTGCATACGCTTCGCATTCCATCCTTGAGTTATTCAAAGCACGCAAGCATCACGCGGTACTCTTATGAGAGAAGAACGACAGTGCTGACATATATTTCATAGCCACTGTGGGCAAGACTGATGCTCCCTCAAGGGGCAGTGTCTCGATCGCGCCTAATACTAAGAAGAACACTAAGAAGAAATATGCTTATTACAACAAAGCGGAGCAAAGATTGGACGAGGCGCTTCCTCCAAAAGATGCCGCTGCCATCGTTTCGCTCGATGCGCGTATGAAGAAGCTGCGCAAGAATTTGTGTAACAACTGGTATGTACTAGACGCGATATGATACGCCGGCCACATGTGTAATGCTAACACAATGCACAGGCATCTCCATGGGAAGTGTGAAAATGGAAAGTTTTGCCATTTCCAGCACGAAACAAAGTTACCGGCGGCTGAGTTGAATGTTTTGCGTCATAAAGCACGTACCTTGCCTTGCAAGAACAGATATTGCGAAGACATTGACTGTTGTAAGTATTGCGCCAGTAGCAAGCGGCTTCAATAGCCTCTCAGCCGTCTTTTCAATTATGCTAAGAATGTTGTCCTAGATCTGGGACACCAGTGTCCTCAGGAACGCGAAACAGGGTACTGCTCGTTTGGAGACAAATGTGAGTAGATATCTTAACCAGATACTATGAGGTAACACTAAGTGCCCATCTATAGGTCACTTCCGCTTCACGCACGGTATGGACAAGGTCAAATATGTTAGAGTTGACAGAGAGGGCAATGAAGACTACGCTCCTTAGCTTCTGCAACTAATCCTGGCTAAGATTGTTTGGTTGTCTCGAGACTTCAGAATGGGTCATCAGAGTGAGCTAGATTAATGTGTGAATGATATTGGACAAGTCGCATTCTCGAACCTCGCACCTCTGCCATTTACTTTCTTCACTAAAAAATAGTATGGACGTTGAGCAGTCGTAAACTGCAACCACAGGCCAATCTCGGCTTCTGCTCCGCCCCACTGGTCACTCGAAAACATTTTTACTTCCCCACACTCCACACAATGCACAGTGTAAGACCGGACCGAACCAATAACTGTAAATCATTTATCTCCGCATCGGAGTGAATGGCAGCCCGTGTTACGCTGCACTAAGAATTCAGCCGCGGCACCTAACGTCGGCAGTAAAAAGCTCGTAACTGGCAAGCTCCGCACACGGCGGGAGTCATTCAAACATAACCCATTGCTGACCTCTTTGACCTTGACACCATTTTTACTCATTCTTTATACATACTTTGTGAAATCATTTTGATACCATGCCGTTTCTGCACTCAGAGACGCAGCCGAAAATCCTCATTGCAGGTGCCGGTATCGGCGGTCTAACAACAGCGTTAGCGCTCCATTCCGCCGGCTTCAACAACATTCAGATCTTTGAAGCGTCATCGACCCTCACAACACTAGGTGTCGGAATCAATGTGCAGCCTTCTGCTGTCTTGATACTGCGCAATCTAGGTCTCCTAGAGGCCTTGGAGAAAACAGGCATCAAAACACAAGAGCTGAACTTTTACAACCGACATGGAGACTCTATCCTTAGCGAGCCCAGAGGCCGTAACGCAGGGTACATGGTCCCGCAGTTCTCGATTCATCGCGGAGAATTTCAGATGTTACTTCTGAGTGCGGTGAAAGAGCGCCTTGGCGAGGATGTGCTCTATCTCAATCATGCCTTTACGGCTTTTGATCAGAACAATGACAGTATCACAGCGCAATTTTCGCGCAGAAGAGACGGAGAACCAGCAGACATGTCGAGTGTAACTGGCGACGTTTTGATCGCTGCAGATGGTATCAACTCGACAGCTCGAAAGATACTTTACCCCAATGAGGGACCACCCCGGTTCTCCGGGCGCATGCTATGGCGTGGATGTATCGAGCGCGACCAGTACCTAACGGGCGCGAGCATGGTTTGGGCAGGCCATGCTGACCAAAAGTTCATTGCGTATCCCATCAGTCAAAGGTCCGCCGACAAGGGCAAGAGTATGGTCAACTGGATTGCGGAGCTCAGAATACGCGCCAAGGACGATGTGGATCTGACGCCGCCCAAGACAGATTGGACCAAAGCCGTGAAAAAAGATATCTTCGCAGGACCTTTTGAATCATGGAGATGTGGAGGCCTAGAGATGAAAGACCTCATCGACAATACGGAGAAGGTATTTGAGTTTCCCATGTCAGACCGCGATCCAGTCGAGGCATGGTCTTTTGGCCGCCTCACACTTCTCGGCGACGCAGCACATGCCATGTACCCCATTGGCTCCAACGGCGCGTCCCAAGCCATCATAGACGCCGAGACGCTCGCCAAACACCTTTCCTCCAGCACCTCAAATATTCAGGGTGCGCTCAAGGCTTACGAGCTTGAACGACTCCCACCAACATCTAAGATTGTCATGGCGAATCGCGCCAATGGTCCAGATCACGTGCTGCAGTTAGCAGAGGAAAGGGCCCCAGATGGTTTCAAGAATGTATACGATGTTATTCCCAAAGATGAACTTGAGGAAATTGGCAGAGTATACAAAAAGGTTGCAGGATTTGAAATGGAGAGTGTGAATGAGAAGGCGAAGGAGACAGAGGGCATTGATGTACAGAAGGGCCTGAAGAGCCCGCAAGAATGGATAGCATAGTGGTGCTTCTGGAAAAAAAATGGGCGGGGTATAACGACTAACTTGACATAATTATGCACATGAATACAAATATAGATTCGGCCTAAATCGATAGGGCGATCATTTCGCTGCTGCGCAGGCCTGTTGTGATATGGGGTTGAAACTAGTATGAATTGGTTTAAACAAAAATACGGGGCATCGTTCTAAGCACACACTTCCTATTTACACAACCAGACTTGCATCAATCAAACATGGAAAGAGATACAGAGTACTGGTAACAAAAAGCGACACGTCATCGCATTTCGGTCATACCAAGGCGCCAACACCCTTGACCATGGCAGTGCACCAAGGACACCTCCCTCACCGACCTCGCCCAAGAACCAATCCCACCAGTATCATGCGCATCACCTTCTCAGCACCATCCTTGACCAAAGCCTCCGTCTGCACAATTGCTTCATCCAGCGACAAGGGACCTCTAAGGATACTTGTGAATGCTTTGATGCCAGCACCGTAGCAGCCGTCTGCCCCTTCTCCAATTGTGCCAGCCAATGCGACCACTTGCGCACCGTTCCGCCTTGCACGGCGGGCGATCTCTGTCGTCATCTATTGATGTTAGCCAGTTTCCAAAACCACAAGAATGAAGTCGACCAACCTTCCCATTTGGTGACTGGAAGTCCAGGCTTCCCTCGGCGGTAATAACAAAGTCCCATTGCTGATCCAGAACACAATCAATTTCAAAATACTCGTTGATAGCCTCGCCACGCGCTCGAAGCTGAGCGCCAAGCAGCATCAAGGCTGCTCCAAGGCCGCCGCTGGCACCACTCCCTGGGCTATGGGAAATGTCTTTTCCTAGTTTTGTATGAGCCACTCGGGCTAATCGTTCGAGTGCTGCTGCCAGCAAGTCGACTTGAGCAGGTGTAGCGCCCTTTTGCGGTCCGTAAACTCGCGCAACCCCTTTGGGGCCGCAAAGCACGTTTTTGATATTGCACACAGCCTCTATTTGAACCTTCTCGGCTATTACGGAATTAATTGTCTATCCGTGTTCAGGGGTTGGAGTATGTACTTACGGGAATCTTCACGCAAACGAGGATGGATACTGCGCCAGTCCAGGCTGGCTAGACGAGACAGGGACCGACCACCACCTGCCATGGGCAAGTCATCGCCGTCTACGTCTATAAGACGGACACCAAGCGCCTGGAGCATGCCAGCTCCACCATCAGATGTGCCCGAGTCTCCACACCCAATGATGATTTTGGTGCATCCTGCATCAAGTGCTAATTTCATCAATTGTCCGACACCAAAGGTGGTAGTTACGGTCGGGTCGCGCAAATGCTTGGGGACAAGACGGAGGCCTGCTGCAGCGGCCATGTCTAATACGGCCGTCTCCTTATTGGCACCGATGAAGCCGATGTGAGATTCGACAGATTCTCCGACAGGACCCAAGACTGTCTCCTCAATGATGCTTCCGTTGTGAGTCGCCACTAGTGCCTTTGCAAAGCCTTCTCCGCCATCGTGCAGAGGCAGCTTGCGCAGTATGACGGAGCCCTTGTCCAAGACCTTGGTGATGCCTGCTTCGATAGCATCAGCAACCTGCTCTGGACCCAAACTTTCCTTGAAACCCGACGGGGCTACCAGGACACGGAGTGGATGCCCTTTCAAGATCTCTGAAGTGGGAGTCTGTGACACGGCTGAGGCGGGGTGCACCAGTTCGTCCACTTGCTCCGGCGGTAAGTTGAACGTCTTGAGCGAACGGAGCGGCGGCATTTGAGATAGACGCCTTGTAATTGCTGGTGGGCCAACAGGAGCGAAGGGCTCCATGGATAGAGGAGGACTCATAATCATTTTTTGAGTAGTAGTGGAGTAGAACTTGAGTAACTGGGGTATCGCTAACAGAAAAGGGTATCGTGGAAGTGTTAGTTGTGAAACGAAAGTTGAGGTGCGTGGATATAGAGCGAGTGAATTGAGTATCTGTTGCTGGATATCATCTCATCGTCAGGCATACGGCTTACTTATAGCCTTTGTCTCAAGTCTTGCTCGTCTGAAGTTGCAACTTCTCATATCACAAGATGCAGGCCACAGGCTGGTCCTATTCCTGGTGCACCACACCACGCGAATAACGCCTAAGGAATTTGGTTCAAGCCTCAAGACCAGCACAGCAGCGCCACCTCAACCAAGGCGCAAATTAGTCCGATCTAAGAAGCCGCAATCTTGTCCTGCAGCTTCATGGCAAGTAGCACAGCCAGGCATGACGACTACAACATAGCCCTTTGACCAAGATCATAAGACTACCGTACGGTGATGCTTTGACCTCTCAGCGGTAGTCTTGTCCTCTATCTTGCATTGGCCCGCGTACCAGTGTTCTTGACATCTCCAGTTTTATTTCTTGACCGTAGTCGTCGGGCCAATGGCAGTAAGCTCACGTGCCTTCACCAAGCAACTTAGCGAAACTACCAAGATGTACCTTCTTGGCACGGTAGTTAGACACAGCCCGTGTCGCTGACGTCTCCATGAGGCTGTCACGACATACCTGCCGCCTTCTCCCGTGTCATGGGAGTATACGCAGCATTACGATTGGCCGTCAGTGACTTGAAGCCCTTGTGGCTATTGTGTGCTCACGCGACATGTTTCTATTCTTAAATTACCCGCCTATACCACAGCCTGAGGTTTTCCGGCACTAATCATGGCTGATGCAGTTCTCTGAAGCGTGGCATTCAGGCCAAGGGGGGTGTTCGCTGGCTTTTCGGACAACTTTGGGACGTATGTGGCTGTTGCCATACAGGGAACGGCCGCATGCTTTGCTACACTGCCTCAAAATTTATATTGTAATGCAATAGTTGTGTAGTAGCCTAGTCGGGGTGAATGGTTATTATATGCTGAGCAGGTAGCATTACATTCGTAGACCCTGCCATCATCTCCACATAACCCAACATTCGTTTCACCTTGTCGTTCGTTACTATTAGTCATGGGACTCAAAGACAAGCTACTCAGAAGACCTTCTGTCAATTCAGACGAATCAAAAGATGCCCTCGTCCTGCCCAGATGGTCTTTTGAACGTAGCGACCATTCGATTCTAAGCACTGAGCGGTTGTTCCGACAGTGGAATCAGTCCGACGACCAGAATACACGATACGACGCCGGCCATCTGATCGAGGAGGAGGATAGTATTAAACTTAGGGAGGTGATTGTACGTTACATGTCTGTCAGTCGTCATACAACCACTGACTGAATATCACAGGTCACCTGGGACGGCCCAAACGATCCTTCCAACCCTCTGAACTGGAGCAACAGACAGAAATGGATAACCACAATCCTCGTCTCCCTCTTCACATTCATCTCACCGTTCTCATCCACAATGGTAACACCCGCGTTACCCACCATCGGCAAGGAATTCGATATAGACGAAGGCTTCAAGCGGCAGCTCGTCATGACAATCTTCCTCCTCGGCTACGCCCAAGGCCCCTTCGTCCTCGCCCCTCTGAGCGAAATCTACGGCCGCGTCACCGTCCTCCAGTACGCCAACCTCATCTACCTCCTCTTCAACACATGCTGCGGCTTCGCACAGACCGGGCCGCAGATGCTCGCGTTCCGGTTCCTGAGTGGCCTCGGCGGCGCGGCGCCACAAGCTGTAAGTCTTCTCTCTTCCACCCTACAGATACATCTTGTAGTCGTACGTGTTGTCTAACAAGGGATAATGTAGTTGTGTAGTGGTGTCCTAGCAGACACCTGGAGCAAAGAAGAACGCGGCAAAGGCCAAGCCATCTACGGCATCCTCACCTGGCTCGCCCCCTGCATCGCCCCCATCTGCGGCGCCTACATCTCCACCGGAGCAAGCTGGCGCTGGATCTTCTTCGCCACTTCCATCTTTACAGTCTTTGTGCAACTCACCGCGCTCTTCTTCCTCGCCGAGACCTTTGCCCCCGCTATCCTTGCTAAAAAAGCAAAGGCTATTCGCCACGATATGCAGGATGAGACTGTGGTTGTCCGCACGGAGTTCGAGACGGGAGACCGTATGAGTAGGATTCTGAGGAAGAGATTGGTCTTGCCGTTTATTATGATGTTTACGCATCCGGCGACGCAGGCGCCGTCACTGTATCGCGCATTTTTGTATGGGGTTATGTATCTCATGCTCTCTACATTCCCGCTGGTTTTTGAAGAGGCGTATGATATGAGTGTTGGTAACGCATCACTCAATTATCTCTCGCTGTGTTTGGGGTTTATGGTAGGGTTGCAGATTTCGCATCCGCTTATGGACGGTGTATGTTCCTCCCCTTTCGCTTTTACCTTCACCTCTCCCTCTCTTCTCTTCTCTTCCAGTTACATTAGATTTCCACATGCTAACGCAAAAATAGCTCTACGCCCGCATGAAATCCTACTATAACCTCACCGACGGCCTCCCTGAATTCCGCGTCCCACCCATGCTCATCGCAGGCATTCTGTGTCCGATCGGACTCTTCATATACGGCTGGACGGCACACTACCACGTCCACTGGATCGTGCCGAATATCGGTGCTGCAATCGTGGCTGTGGGTCTCATCATTGGGTTTCAGTGTAGTCAGGCGTACACAACGGATGCGTATGAAGCGCGGTATGCGGCGTCGGCGGCGAGCGTGGGTGCGTTTATGCGGACCATGTGCGGATTTAGCTTTCCGCTGTTTGCGCCGCAGATGTATGAGAGCATGGGGTTGGGTTGGGGGAATAGTTTGTTGGCGTTCTTGACGCTGGGAATTGGGTTGGTTGGACCTGTGGGGCTATGGTTTTATGGGCCAAAATTGAGGAAGATGAGTTGGAGGGGGTTGGATTCATGATTGTGAGAGATGAGGATGATGATTTTTTTTCTGGGTTTTGGATTGCGTGATGACTGCGCCCTGATTTTTCTATGTAGAATATTTCTTTTATGTAACTTCTCAGCCTATAGAAAATTTAATGTACAACAAACAATTCACGAATTGAGAATATCAACTATCTTAGGTAGAACAAACGCGATATCCCCCTTTAAGAACCAATCTGTTTCGTCGAACTCCTCCACTATTTCATAGTCTCCCGCATCAATAATAGCCAAAGATGCTCCACACGCTCGTGCGGTGCTTACCCACTCTGCAGCTGGGAAAACCTGCAAGCTAGTCCCAGCGGCAATCACCAAATCAATGTGTTCTTCTGACATCCACTCATCAACACTGTCTGGCGCGCCAGCAGCAAGTCTCTCGCCAAACCAAACAACTCCTGGGCGTAACAGATTTGCACATCGGGGACAATGTGGAAGGTCAGATAACGCGACTGAGCGTGCTTTGTGATCAGTGTTGGATAATGAAAGAAGGAATGGGACGTCTTCCGGCTTATGGACGTTGATAGAGTAATCGCATGCAGTACACCGAACAATCTTTAGTGTACCGTGAATATTCAGTAGCCTTGACATGGGATGACCAGTTTGCTCGAGAAGCCCTGAACTCCTATTAGCGCACCGAGCGTATCATTCTCCCACACTACTACTGCCCGTACCGTCAACGTTCTGATTGATACTCAACCATCCTTGATGCCAATTAGCAAGCGCCGCCAACGCATGATGTGCAGCATTTGGCCTCGCTTCCAACGCCTCGAGTAAACGCTCGCCGTAGAAGCTCCACACCGTAACTGGATCCTCTCGAAACTTTTTGGGAGAAGCAAGTTCTTTCAGATTGATGTCGTTCCATAACCCGTTCGTTCCACGCCAGGTGGCCAGGCCAGATGGTGCGCTGAGTCCGGCACCGACCAGACACAGAACACGCGAAGACTCTGCGAGAAGATCCGCAAATGCCGACCAAGTATGGGTGTCGCTAGTATCCATGCTGAAGCTCAAGTAGAGCCTAGGGGTGCTTGTGGTTTTCTTGATGTTACGCTAGATGGTGGGTTGGCGTTAGTGGGCGGTAGATACATGGAGACCCGTGTCTCGTACTACAATTACCCAGTTAAGCTTAGTCTACCGTAGTAATGTCGGTCTCTAATGAAGAAGAACATAAATATGTAAGGGGCTACGCTCATATGTATATGGCTTGGCTTTGCCAAGCAAATCGAGTATATTTACGCAACTACCGTGACTTCAAGACAAGCTTGAAGTCTTGTTACTGCCTTTTTGGCAAAATGGTTGGCGTAAGTAGTTGTACGTTAGGCTCTAAGAGCCCGCCCATTACAAAATAGTGTCAGACCTAATGCAGCCTAATCTACCTCTTCTAGTAGCCCCCTGTTGACTTGCAACAACTAGTCTATTGCCACACATACATAGCTATTCGGCCCTCATATACTGCTATGCAGTATACCATAATTTTCTAGGCACGTAGTGGCCTAGGTGGAGTCGAGCCAGGTTGCATCACAGTCACGCGAAGAAGAGTTGCGCTGAAGCGCCAAGATTAGCGTTAGACAAAACTTTTAAAAGGCACCTTCGTACCTTAGAGACATTTAGATATTTGTCTTGTAATAATCATTATCTAAGTTGATCCCAAGTGACGTTCATTGATTAATCACTCACAAAGAAAAATTTAACTGTAGCCGCCTTACCAGAAACGCTCGTCACGATCAGTCGACTTCGAACAATTGGGCTTCCACGTGATTTAGGGTCTCCAGACAGAATCTAGCAACTGCTCGAAAAAGTAAGTTAAATCGCAGGGCCTACTCATGGCACCTAAGATGTGAGTGTTGACGTGGGAAGTTGTTTATGTGATGCGGGTATCCGCCACTACTTCGGAGTCTTCTCATGCGCCAATTTTCGTCCATTTTCCTGTCGTGCGATTTTTCGTCCCGTTTCCAACGTGCAATTCTTCGTCTGAAAGGAAACAGGGAATGAATCGGGCCGAGCTATGTGCAATTCTTTGTCAGAAAAGAAACGCGAATAAGGTCAGGTCGGACTAACTATGATAAATCTATCCAAATCAATAAGCCGATTTCTAAGTGGTGTAGGTTTCATACTCCTGAAATTCGGGGGAACATGGTCAGAACACACAGCGAAGACGGACTTCTCATCTCAATGCTTCAACTATGTTATGGATCTAGTTAGCCACCTTGGGAATCAGGGAATAAGAGCGCAAATATAAAGGCTATTGGATTTCTTCCGCAACCACCATCCAGACAAAGAAAACTTGTTTCAACAGATTCGTTCATCCATCAACTAGATAATTATGGCTACCAACAAATCTTTCGCCGCAGAAACCGGCGGCTTGGAAATCGCCAAAGCCTACTCATCCCAAATTATTGGCAAAACAGTTCTCATCACTGGCGTCTCCCCTGGAGGTATTGGCGAGGCTACTGCTCGCGCATTTGCCCACGGAGGTGCATCTATCATCATCGCAACTGGTCGCAGCAAAACCCGAGTCGAAAGCCTGACCAAAGAGATCTCCGCGGATTACCCATCTACAAAGTTCGTCAATGTCGTTCTCGATCTCGCGTCCCTCAAAGACGTCCAGCGCGCCGCCAACGAAATCCTCAATGATAGATCCATCGAGAAAATCGATATCCTTGTCAACAACGCTGGCAGCCAATTCGGGAATGCCGAGCGTGAACTCACCGTCGACGGCATTGAGACGCATCTCGCGGCCAACTACCTGGGCCACTTTCTCTTCACCAAGCTGCTCCTCCCACGACTGCTTGCCGCCGCCAAGGTAAACCCTCCTGGCGCGACCCGCATCATCCCTGTGGGTAGTGAGGCCGCGCAATTCAGCCCCTTCCGCTTCAGCAACTGGAACTTTGACCCGGACAAGGAACTCGCCGCCGACGAGAAGCCCAACTGGGACCTCATTACTAACATGACCGGAGTTCCCGAAACGACCAACTTCGATGCCTTCGTTGCGTACGGGCAGAGCAAGACCGCCGCTCCGCTTTTCGCGGTCCATCTCAACACATTGTTCGCCAAGGAGGGTATCTTTGCGTTCGCGCTTCATCCGGGAGGGGTGAGAAGTACAGCGGCGTTAGCGATAATAGAGGCTGTGCCAGCATATGACAAGTTATTTACGAAGACTATTGATCAAGGGAGTTCGACAATTTTGATGGCAGCTGCAGATCCTGGATTGAATCCTGAAAAAGGGGTGTGGTTGGAGGATAACCAGCTTGCGGAGCCGGTTACGTGGGCAGTGGATAAGGAGAAGGCTGAGAGGCTGTGGAAGTTGTCTGAGAAGATTATCACTGAGAAATTGGAGAATTAAGTTCACAGGAGTGCACTGTTAGAGCTCTAGACATAGCTTAGAAGACTGTAATAGTGTTAAGCTATAGTGCTTAGTTAGATGTATTTGCAATTGAATGATAAAAATCAATGACAATATGTCGATTTAAAGTGGTATCTGGTTACCTTACTGGTGGAAAACACTATTCCTTTCTAAAAAGGTAGATTAGACATAACAGGACTTTTATAAAATGCTATTGTACTCTATACAATCATCACTGTGCAATATTATCATATTAGAGCGCGATGCAGGTTGAGTGCTACGTGAGTATCACTAAGCGCCATGGGCGGGGCGTGGAAACAGAACAATGTAGTACTACAGTCGACACTCGCCAAGAACAGCCACCCTTATCGCTTGCTGCCAACTCATATCACCTCAACTGCCACCATATATATGCCACTACCATTGACCAAGCAAACTCCTCCACGCGCAATCGTGCTCTAGTATATCGTCTTTCCTACATTACGTATATCCAGCCGCCCGTAAAGGTTGCTATGTGCAACAACAGGTCCTAGTCGAGAGACAGCAGCACATACGTATGCCTTGTGAAGTGCGCTCATACACTCTGCATGCTTTAGTACCGAAGCAGACTTTTGCGACGCATCTTACAGCTTCAACGTCAGCTAAAGCCTTGACGCTCTGCACATCCCCAATCTGCGTCACATTCGTGTCGACTATGACCTTGTGAACCGCGGTCGACATTCAGCCTTGCCATCCTGCATCTTGGCACTAGCATTGTTAATAATGAGCAATATCTGGCATCTTGCACGCATCGAGCAGGAAAGGTTCGCGGTCACAGGAGCATTTTTTGCTATTTACACGCAGCAGCAATCTGTTTGCTAGCCTACCCTTATGCTTTCCGAAGGCGACGATGATAGTTCAAGTGAAGAGTACATCAAGCGAATGCTTGGCATTGATCGCATTGACTTTTCAAGGCGGTCTTACTACGGCGATATTTTCATTTGTGAAATACACTGAGCATCTTAAAACCCTCGCGTGCGAGGTTAACAACATACCAAACGCATTACCCCTAAAGTTAATTGCGGTGCTAAAGCTGTTGTTCCAGAACGAATGGGAGAAGGCATATCTCGAATCGCAGCTTCGAAGCGATCAATACATGGAAGCACAGATACTCAAGGCAAAGACAGATAAGGAGATTCTTTACCGAAAGATGTGCGTTGCCTTTGCTATCTTTACTGTGTTCAGCCACAGGCATTTCGCCGCTAACAGGTCAAAATAGGACCCCAGTTAAGCGTGAAATTCTGGATCATATGCCACCAAGTACCTTAGAGATACTAACGATTCAGTTGTGCGATGATGGTGCATTGATTGATACAAGTATAAGTCCTTTCAATGATCCAGATATGATGGTAATCAGGGAGGTAAGAAGGCCGAAGGCAATTAGACTTAGTGGACTGGAATGGGTTCCAGAGTCCATGGTTGTAAGGTAGCAGTGGCGCAGTGGGAGATTCAAATTCAAAGCCGGATCAGCAAAACTCTATAACTACTAGCGATTGAAGAGTCACTACAAGGTTCAGGCTAGTACAGATTGGCAGCCTTCCTTGCTAGTTCGCTCAATTAAGAATTCGCCTTCAGCCTTCCCACGCTATACTGCGGGCTGTGCAATAAGCCACATCCAGCTGAGCTTCATAGCCCTCTCCGATAATATCGCATACCCACTCTGGCTGCCTTTTCTTTTTCTTCATATTGTGGTATAGTATCACGTGCTCAGACTGCAGATATATATTGGGACTTCTTTTCTGAGTAGATAGACACCTTCTTTAATCAATTACATTACAGCGATTGGATGTCAGCACAATCCTACCAGCTCGATTAAGGGCCGCCCCTTGATCATTTGAGCTCGATCTTTTATTGTGCCACAATATCCCTCATCCTTCAAAATAAACCCCGGAAAGCAACACTCGACTCTCGTATTTCGTTTCGCGGTTGCTAGAAACTATGCAACTGAAAAACCTGACGATAGAAGTACCGTTGAGCGCAACACAGCATGGCAACAATCGTGTCTTTTGTGTACGAGGGCCTCCATGGAGAGATGCGCTGTCTGTAATCACTTTCTTTGCCACGAGCTATATTGCCCACGCGGCAACAGTCAAATCAACACCCGGCGAGGGAACAATCAGTATGGCGTTCAACACTTTCATGGCACTATGTTTCCCGATGTTTGGTCTTTTGCGCGCACTAAATGCGATTGCTCGCGGGGCACGATTCGGAGGTTCTGAACTTAGGAATGCTTGTAGAGCAGGTGCTCTTTGCATGGTTGTCAGAAACCCAGAGTGGAGGCCCAAGCCTGGAGATACTCTCGCGGTGGTCCTTGAGGAAAGAAGCCAGTCTGATGAAGAGAATAACGCCACTGCAGACATTGTCGATGCAAAGATGGTCAACTACTTCCCTACATATGCGCGAGAGGATTCATCAGCTTGGGCGTACTTTGATACCATTGGCTCCCGAGCTTATGTGGACCCAGATTTAATCAGAATACATGGCACATACTTGTTATCGAAAGGGTACGCATTCGCTATAGTACCACGCAATGCTTGCTTGCTGGAGATAGATCGTATTGATTCCACGCCATTGGTGCCACATATGGATAACGTTTCGCCTGCTTCTGCGGATATAAGCCAACCCCTCGGAGCCGAGGCCATTTTGAACGGCCATTCGAGTTCTGCACGAAACCTAGACGATAATAGAGCAAGTCTTCAATCTATATCGACGGCTGGTACCACCCTAACGAGTGAAAGTGTCAACAACATGAACAACTCCGGGCTTCGTCCCATGGATACGTTAATACCTACACAAGGGAATGGCGGTACACCTGACGCAAATAGCGACATCAGTTCGAGTTACAGCATAGCGAAAGCAATCGCATCGCTGATCCAAATTCTAGGTGCACTGAGCATAATCTTTTTACGCAAACCCGATACTATAGAGCGGTGGGGATATGCATCATTCCAACTGACCGTGGTTCCATACTTAGTCATGACCGTGGTCAACTTCGTCAGTAATGCACTTACAGCAGACTACGCTTGTCTATATATGGTTGAGTCGGAGGTCATGAGAGAAGCACGAAACAGGGGTAGCAGGTTCGAGGGGACCGTGGCAGCCTTAGAAGAATACATGGGTCCTCTATCACCAGACGTCTCGGCAAAAGATATCGCAGTTTGGACAGGTCTTACACAGAAGCATATTCGGTGGCTCGCGAGCATCTTGTCTGGTGAATGGCTAAGCAACAAGCTTTTCGGCCTAGACTGGGCAATTTTCGAGGCACCTAAGCGCAAAGTTCCCAAAATCTCACATATTCAGCTTACATGTGAGGAACAAGTAGAGATCAATCATTCTCAATCAGAAAGCGCTACCGAGGGTGACCAGCAAGATCACCAACCTGCCACCGATACGTTGCGAGAGAGCTCCAATATCGAATCGGAGCAAGATGTTTCAGTACCTGTCGGAAATGACAACTCGAGTATGCTTGCAGCTAACGAGAGAATCGAATCGGACGTTCCTGGTATCCATCAAGATCACCCACAACTCGCTGCAGATATTTCCCGCCACAACAATCCAGTCGACTCTCCTACAGAACCTAAAGTAATTTTGACAAGCTTGAGCGGCCAAAGATATCGTATACAAGGATTCCGCTCGACACCATGGTTTGATCCAAAACTATTACTTGGTCGAAGTAACGCCAGAGAAATTTTATCGCATATTGCTGATATTGCTGAGGATACCTCACATGCATCAAGCACATCCGATCGACTCAAAAAAATCATGGTCGAGTTTCTCAACGGTTTTTACTCCGGACTCTTTCAATCGCTCGATCCAGTTCGACTGAGGCTCATTGCATCCGTTGAGCAAGTCAAGAAGGATCGTACCGGCACCGAGAGTTGGACAACACTCATTGCAATGCTATACAGGGGTCTGTCCGGCAACGGATTAAATGCAAGCCCGGAGAACAGTACTGAACATGAAAATCGAAAATTCGCAATATACATTCCAAACTGTTCTCCTTTTGTCCGCGAAGATAAGAGCAAGGGCAAACAACCGAGGGGAAGGGGCCATGCCGGGGCCATGATGATTCTTGAGTTTCTTCTTGGATGCTTCATCCTTAGCCTTCTTATTGTCGTCCTCGGATGGCTCTCGCATTGGTTCTCTCGCGGTGGAAGTAGTCGTACTGAACGAGCCATCATCTTGCTATGGGTGGCTGAAGGCGCTTTCGGTCTGCTCCTTCCACTTCTGAGTCTAAAGGAATTGCTTCTGGTATTCCTCTTACTGCCAGTATATGCAGCGTCACTACAACAGCAGACCTCTCTAAGTTTCATACTAGTCCCTCAGTATCTACACCTGTTAGCTTTCATACCAATCGGTATCTTCGTGGCACCGATCTGGGGTTTCGTCATTGTGGGAAGACAACTTGTTGAATGGGGAAGTTGTGTGTCTTTGTACTGAAAGGACATTATCTTTGTTACGGATCAAGATCTTTTATTTAATTTTGTTCTATTTAGAGTCTCTAGTTGTGCAATGTAATTCGGTTCAATAACGCCGTTTCTATGCAATACCTTTTTTAGTGCCACCGAAAACTCCGAAACCCATTGAGGAATGTCAATACATAACCTGTACCCCTTGGAAACCAATCACTATTGACGCAAACCCCCACTCCCATCACACTCCTTCTCCTTAGTTACCTTCTCCTCAACTACCTTCTCCTTCTCTAGCTTTTCCAAAGTCTCCCTAAGACCATCACGCTCGCTTCTCAATTTCTCCGAGTCCTGGACAACCTCACCTACAATGCTATTCATATCTTCAATCTGCTTTCGGAGCTCAGAAGCCTCGGTCACCAGAGCTTGATGCTCTTTATTCAAGCTCTCAGCCTGCTTCTTGTCGGTGGTAATGCCCGCGCTGCTGTCTTGCTGCGCTTTCCTAGTCTCGTTCGACAGCTTCGACAGCTTCTTGGCTTCCTTGAGTTCGATTCTCAGCGCTTTGGTGACATTGTTGTGTTTCTTGCACAAGTCGTCCTTCTCCAGCATCCATCGCCTTCTGTCCGCAATACCCTGGTCTTTCTTTTCCTGCTGGAGAGTCTCGATTTGCTTCGTAGCATCGCGGAGGGCTTGTTTCGAGTCGCCGATTTGTGCAGGTAGGATACGGAGCTGCACAAGTTCGGCTTCTTTTTCTTCGCAGAGTCGGTAGTTCTCCTTCATAGCTTCATCTTTTTCGTTATTGAAGAACGCAGCGCGCCAGTATTTGATCTCGTGCTGCTTGTCGTCCAAGGAACGTTGGTATTTGGGAATAACATCTTCCGTATAGTGCTGGTCGCATTGATTCTTGATATCCTCTACCATTTTTGGTTTCTCGGCCTCTAATTCCTTGATCTTCTCCGAACAAGCGGTGATCTCCGCTTGCATCATTCGCAAGCTATCCTCATTGGCTTCGAGTGACTTCTTTCTATTCTTCACCAATTTCTCGAGGCTCTTTTCATCGGGTGTTGTATCGTTGTCTTGGACGACGCCAAGGCACTTGAGCAAGGCATCTCTCTTCTCAGCGCTTTCCATCAAACGCTGCATTCCTTGTCTACTTCTCTCCAGGTCGTTGAACATATCGCGAGCTTCAGCTTCCCACTCTTGTTCGGACTTCTTGTCTTCTGCTGGATCAATCTTCGTCTCCTCATTTTGGCCTTCAGCTGCAGCTACTCTGGTGATTACAAAGCCTGAAATGAACGCCAGATATAGCATACCCAAGATGATAATTGGTAGAAACAACATCGCCCAGTCAGTCCATGTTTGAAATCTGCGTTTCGACTCATACAGCGCTACCTCGGTGGAACATTGTGTTGAATTTATGGGTGGTGCCGCTGAGTCAGTTGTATGGTGAGCCCATGTTGTAACTTGTTGCACATCAGTGATAGTGGATGTACATGTAAGCTGCCCTTGAACAGTATCGTATACTATAAGAGTGATGGTTTCCGTCAATGTAACCGGTTCTGGGCGCAAAGTCGATACAGGCTTCAATGTAACCGGTTTCGGGAGCAGGGTCGATATAGGCGTGAATGTAGCCGGTTCCGGGCGCAAGGTCGCTGTCTGGGTTGCTCCGATTCTTGGAATAGAAGTGCGTTGCTTAGATAATGTCAAACCTATGGCTGGATCCCAGAAGTATCGGAGGCTTGGGAAGCTGAGGACCGCGTTAAGTATGGCTGCGAGAAACACATCATTCTGGGGAATGAATCCCAGCATTTTCTCTCTCTTCTTATGTCGTGATTTGGGCGGGGAAATGTATGAGGTGATACGTCGTGTTGCTCAAATAGGGTTGCGCGTTCAAAAGAAACTACGTGGATATGTTTGTGACGGTGCAGATACGATGATTTTTTAAAAGGCATGTAGTTGTTTAAGACTTGTTGTCTGGTACTAGACAAAGAGAGCGCGGAGCACAATGTCTCACGAACAATAGAGAAAACAACAGAATGAGAGACAAAGTGATGGTGAATAGCATATCGAACAATAACAAAGTGAACATGAGGTGACAGGAAGCTCGCACAATCATCCATGGTGACCTGTTTACGTCCATAGCCTTCCTCCTTCACCAGTTGTTTGTACAGTGTATCTTGAAGCCTCTGACAAGCCATAGTTTACTAGCGATATGGGGTTTGGCCGGATATGACGGATACAGCCGGTGGTTTGCGACCCGAGCCGACATAATAAAGATGTCTCAGTACGCAGTCTTGTTGATTTCACTGCTAGCTGGGTTTGTAGACGCGACATGAGTGCAAGGCGGATAGTGGTATTGAGAGTGGACCGGGGGTTTCTCGCACGAAGCAACTTGTGCTGGCACCTCCAAAATTGAGCGGTGTGGAGTCAGATACTCATTCTAATGTGATTCAGCACACAGAAGTTAAACTGCATACAAAAGTGAGGACGGCGTAGGTCGACGAAGGCGCGGAGGATTTCTCCACATGGTGCTAAACCCCATCCTGAACTAGCGTTGAATCGTGCACCCCAGCGCGATTCGTGTTGGAACAATCACACGACACCACACAACACCACACATCAAGCTGCACGATGACGGCAGACTCATGATCGGCTTCACCTTGTGCAGCCTCGTCGATCTCGTAGACATGAGGCTCTCAACTTTGTCACAACATCCAGTCACATCATGCCCCCCGCCCATGGACACAATCACCCCGAACAAGGGTGATACACGCCTCCAGGGCTCAGCATCCTTTTCGCGTATACCAGAGAATATCAGCGATACTTGTTTTGCCATGAGGTATTTCTATTAGCATTGTTAACGTGGTCTTGCCCAGCCATAGAGATCGGAGACGCCAGTGCATCAGTCCACATCGCATATTGCTTGCCTAATTGGGGTATGTTAACCCGCCCACAAAAAATCTCTCCACACGGCACTGTGCATCCGTGTCGAATAAATATTGACAAAGTACCAGAATATGGCACCAGCAGTCCCGGTCTTGAGACCCTTAACCTGGGGTAAGGCGAGCTTGGTGCCTATCGCCCGTTTACTCCACTTCTGTCTGATGAATCCGCGACCCTTCTAGTCAGGATCTCGTTAGTTACAGTCGCCACGGGCTGCTTATCATAAAATAACTCTTTCTCGATCCTTCAGGAGATTGGCCTGCCTGGAAAGACATACCAATCTGTAATAGTCTAGCCGCATACCCGCTCTCTGGGATGTACTAAAGAGCTGGGGGACACGAGACCGCGGCTGTTTTTCGGACGGCCTTGATTTCTCTTACTACTTGCGGTTCCTCAGACTTGCTTCCTCCGCCTTCCGGTTTAATGCGCAATTCATACTTCAACATGGCACCAACAGCTTCAGCGACAGCAGCGTTACCTACACTGACCCAAAGCGGTGCGCGAGTCGCCCTGCAAGCAGCAGAACAACATGCCATTGAAGTTGGTGTACCAATGTATGACCCCTCTTTTCCACTAAACACATGACTTGTGCGGAGTAGAGCTGACAACCGATCAGGAGCATCGCCGTGGTTGACGCACACACTCATCTCCTGTCGTTCACACGCATGGATGGCGCCAAGATTACCTCCATAAATACTGCCATGGACATGGCTTTTACCGCCGCCGGAAACCGAATTCCCACCTCCGCATACCAAGAAACCCCATGGCCAGGCAGCGCCACATCTGGCATTGGCAATGCTATCTCAGGACGCTTCACTACACTGGGTGGCGGCGTACCTATTCTGTCAGTAGAGGGCGACATACTTGGCGCGATTGGCTGCTCGACGGGCACGAGCATGCAAGATGAAGCTGCGGCGAAAGCGGGGCGAGACGCGGTGCTTGAACTCATCAGGAAAGAGAAGGAAGCCGAAGAGGCAAGACTACACGAGGAGAGGCAGGCCGTGCTTGCATTGTGGAAAGAAAAGGAAGAGGAAGTTGGTAACCTAAGAGAGGAACTCGAGGTCATGGATCGCAGCAGCAAGAGAATGAGGTTCGACGGTGGCCGATCAGGCAGCGCAAGCGTTGTCGGAAGTCTAGCGGGCAGAAGATTGAGCGCACAAGGTGGAGTGGCACCAGACACGCCACCCGACGAGATCGAGCTGCATCCCAGTTTTGTTGGTGAGGTTTCTGTCGGACGGTACTGAGCTATACGTTTTTGTTTGCCTGGGTTTTGGCGTTTTGGTGATGACGATGTCACGGTTTCACGATTCTGTTTTTCGCAAGGGACATGGCGTTTTTGAATTCACAAAGCACATGTTTGGGCTTGCAATAATTACTGGCGAAAAACTGGGCGGTAGTTTGTTGTTCGTGCATGGGAGGTGCTCGCTCGCTCTAATCTGTAGATAGTACATACGTTACATATCCAGCTGGTTTCTTCATGAGGTCTTGTTAGCTCGCATGATCCGCCCATGGGTATCTAATCACCCTGGTAGTGTGCGTGTTGTATTGCCACATCAAGTCCTTTGCTCCGTCCTGGGCATTGAAAGGCATTCAATGATGATCACTGCCATACCCCCTTTCTTGGCCGAGCGTGCATGATCTTGCAGAATCTAGGCTTCTAGATCTATATGCCGCCTTCCTCTTTGTAGTTTATACATCCTTACTCTTACAGTTATAGTCTCCTGGTGTAAAATTGCTTAGGAAGGTTGGGTGGGACAGCCATCCCCTTGGCACTCGTATCCGTCCACTCTAACTCAACTTCAAGCGAGTATTCAAAATCTGAAGCCTTGCTTTAAGCATTTCGGAATGCCTACGCATCATGAACCGCCTCTCCTTTGAGGCCATAGATGTAATGTATGATAAGTGTCTCGTGAAGCAAAAGTGCTTCTCAATGGCAAGTACACGGTTTCTTCTGGAAAAAGCATATTCGTGTTGCTCAGTGGCACAATTAGTATTTGAGTATAGATTGCAACATGCGCATAATACTTCGGTTTTTCACCTACCTTATTATATCACTTCAAAGGCGCCAGCAGGGGTCAAGCGTGCGGTACCACCTCATGCCCCATTTTCGTCACTAACGACCACGGTGGGTTCTCTCTTGATGTAGTCGCTACAACAGACTCTTCTGTAACTACCATACCCTGGTTAAACAGAGAAAGGATAGAGCTACGAATGGCCGACCACTAGGTACTCCAACTAAGAGCCCTCGAATACACCTCTAAACAGTGACGTGATCACAAATATCCGCCCAACCATCACTTGAAGGAAGTTTCAGCAGCACACCCACAGACATTCATTGCTATTCCACCCATCAAGATCATCACTAGGCCGCAGTGCACATACAAACAATACCACTTCCCAAACATCTAAACACCTGAACACACCCCCTTCGATCACAACATCACTGCCATCACACTCCCACCTACCCTCTCCAAAGCCACTCCCAAGTACCACCCACCCCTCCTCCCGATACCACAACGCCACCAGCCAACGCATCCCCCTCGCTTTCCGAGACACAACCCGGAGATTGCGCGCGTAGACCTCCCGACCAATCCGCAGAGCGCAATCCAACGCCACGAAAGCGGTTTCTCGCTTGATAAGATTACAGGGAAGCTACTTGGTCCAGTGATTACGCGGCGCGCAAGATGCAGGTGTAAGAAGTAAACACGGTTTGTCGTTATTGTTTGCTTTTGAGCGTGTGTGGTTCAGCTGTATGCAGGTGGGAAAAAAGAAACAGGGTGGGGGTTCGACCTTGCAATACAGTGGGTATAGCATTTAGTGATCCACGCATTGAGACAAGAGAGATAGAGATGTTATGGTGATCTCAATCAGTTGGGTATGTAAGATGTGAGTATGAAGACGAGACACACATCCAAGTCACAAAGCACATGGAGAGAGAGTTGAAGACCATCATTTGCATACCAGCAAAAGATGAAGCTTTTCTGAATTTTTTCAGGTCATATCATAATCAAATCGTATGCTGTCGTGAATCCACCCCCTTCAAAAAAAACATCCAATCCAGCAAAGCGTGCTGAGTGGTAATCAAACCACGCCCAGACCCTGTCTAGCCCTAATATATATCATGATGGAATCGAAGAAAAAAAGAACAAGCGATTGCAATCGCGATCAAGAAGAAGAGAAAAAAAACAAAGACAAAAGCGTCAACGCCGCAAGCATCCCCGATGCGCGTTATCATCATCTGCTATCTAGCTCTAACCCTCAAGGTCAATAGCGACGCGGCCAGCCACACTTCTCTTGAGCGAGCCCTCGCCAGAGCAAACGGTCATGTGGATATCAACGTCCGTAGTCGGGCAGTCAAACACAGGCTCCTTGATCCCCAGCTTGATCAGCGGGGTATCAACATAGTACGCCTGGCTAGGACAATAATCGCCCGCCGCGCAATCCGCAGCGCTGCACTGGTTGTCGGTGCCGCGCATGGACAGCCCCTCAGCGTGGCCGGGGCACGCGGAGGCGGAGTTGCCCTTGGCGCAGTTGACGAAGGAGATGTCGTACCAGATCTTTCCGTCGGCGATGGAGTACTCGAATTGGGTGTGCTCGCCGTTCTTGATGCTGTCGGTGGAGGAGACCTTGAGCGAGGTGCCCGTGTTGTAGAGAACCTCGGTGTATTGGGTGCGGGCGGGCACGAGGGTGCAGGGGGTTTGGTGGGAGCCGCCGACCGATGAGACCCAGATGTCGTAGGAGCAGCGGTTGGTGAGGATGGCGTTGCCGGCGAGGGTGAGGCCGGCGTTGAGGGCCATGAGGAGGATGGTCTTGGAGAACATGGTGAGGGTTTTTGGTGGGTTGACGTGGAGTCGGTGGGTTGAGGTCACGTGGAATGTGAGAGTGAGAGAGAGAGATATATCAACTCAAAGGATATCCTGGTTCGTAATCGAAGCGGAGGACAAATGAGTGCTGGTATGTGGGTCTTCGGGTTGAAGAAGAGAGTGTGGGATTCTTTTTTGTTGGTTTGCCGGAGGGACTGTAAGGGAAGCTGTCAAAGCCTCTTGGGAGAACAAGGAATGTGTTGCCGAAGGCGACGGAGCAAAAGAATGTTGAACAATGTTCGGAATTTCAAAGGGTAAGATTCTATGGCAATCCTCCCTCTTTTATAAAGGAAAGTATCTACGGCGAGGGATTAGACCAAGACTAGCTTCAGCCGCCCAATACTCAGTGACCCCCTTCCGCCTTAGGCAGCGCCCGCGAATTACGTGAAACGTTGAGGGCAGAAAAAAAACTTTGTCCAAGTCCGGCGACGGCGGCAGCGGAAGGGTTTTCGCGGTGCAGTAGTGCTTTCAGCGCTTCAACGTGGACAGTGGAGACGGCATTGTAGGGCTGTGGTTGGTCAGGCACCAGGGTGGTGGCACTTAGCCTAGACGTATGATGTAAGGAGATGCGTGGGCCTAGAATGTTGGGTTCCGGTTTTTTCGCATGTTTCTTTTTCATCTGATGGTACCTTTGTGCTGGTGGCGCGAACTAAAGCAAGGGACGCAGTGGAATGTGTCGTGGCTATGCTCAGATGGGCCTGGCCTACCAAATATTTTTCTTCTTGATGGCATTCAGGGTCTCTTTCCTCGGGAAAACGGATCCCTTCTTCCTGGCAAACTCAATGTGTGGAAATGTCGGGCAGTTTACGGGCGAGGGTTTATATGGCCCGATTTGTGCTAGCCTAGCTGCATGCGCTGTGTATGCCCTGGAGCTGTACAGTACTAGCAGCAGGACTAGAGGTGCCCAGGTGGTGATGTAGGGATTACAGCATCCGGTGGTGTAGCGTCTTGAGCGGGACTGGGAGTATGCAAGGCAAATTGGAATTCTGGCTCGGTAGTCGAAAGGGTCTGGGTAAAGAGCCACGCAGACCTGTCCACGTTGCTAGCGAAGGAAAACAGTCATGGTAGGCATGTATGCGGGAATATTATCGATATTATCAATATTGTCTAGCGGGGCAGTCGTGGGAGCGGTGACTGGACTCGGGCGTGGATTTGCCACGTACCTGAATGATGGCCTTGCTGCAGCCGTTGGGGGCGCAGGATGCGTGAACGGGTGTCCGGGTACCTGGCGCGGCACACGGTACCTGGACATGCCAAGGCACCATGCAGCTGCAACCGGCCCTCACCATTCGCCATTCGCTGGCAAAGGTCAACATCTTTTGAATTTTCTCCATCCGGGTTCTTATCGCTCTTGTTTCCTCGCTGTCTGACGCCACGTACTTGCTTTTCAGCAGCTACATATATAATGAGGCTCCAGGCTGAAGCCCATTGCGTCGGCGGCGTCTGAGGTGTCATCAGCGACATACCTACCCAACTACCACCTACCTGTCGGCGTATACTAGACGCCCTTGCAACCCCACGAGCAAGCCCATTGGGCGGCAGATGAATCAACACTCGACTGCAGAGCCGGATGGAGAGCAGAGAATTTTCGTGGTCCACGTCTCCAGTCTGGGCCGGCTGCACGCGTCATAGTGCGAGTTCCGCGACGGGCTGAATGCACCATCTCTTGGCCTTTTGAGCAAGGCTTGATGTCACCGCATGCAGCCTACGCAACCAGTCAAGCCTAGGACCGCTTCCCCAAGGACCGAATGCATGTGAAACAAGACAAGACACGGAGAACCTGCCAACCACGCCGGCACGCACACGGAGCCAGAGCCGTACTTACGCGCTGCACCATGGTGCCGGTGAGGATGCGCCACGTCGGCCAGCTATCTAATCGATAGGAGTTTTTCTTCTCCACGTTTGTTTGATGTCCATGGCGCTCGGCGATCAGCGCCATCTGCTGCGTAAGCATCTTGCATCCGCGCAAAGAATCTGCTACAATCCTCCCGTCTGCCGCGGAAGCGGGGAAACATGTTCACATACGCAGCGGCAACGAATGCGGCATGTCATGTATGCGTATATATGTTCGTAGTATTCGTGGCGGAACAGTGGGACTTGACAAAGCAATATTGGACAATGGGACATACAGCCGGAGACCAACAAAAGAGCAGCGCATCCCAATGGCGCTGTTATACACATGTGTCAGGTTCTTAAGTATCTATACCATGTCTGATCAACAAAGCCTTTGACTGCAGATGCGGTGGGCCTGGTGAGGTAGTATTACAGTCAGGCTCTGCTCCGACTTCGCAATATTGTGGAATGGACGCGCAAGACATGCGACCTCGAATGCATCCAGACCACGACGTTACGTTTCACTCCAGCTTGTGGCCTGAGGATCGGGACGCAGTTGGCGCTTCATCTGATGCTAGCCCGAGTTCGAACAAACAGACTGGTGACGCAACAGAGCGGGCGAGAAATTAGACAGGATTAAGGCGCCTCTCCGTTATACCCTCATTACTTGCAGCGGTAATTTTGCAACATATCGCGTTAGGGCAAAACTGGCAGTAGAGAAATAACGAGAAATTTCAACCCTGGCTGTCGGATGATTGCTTACAATGCGGCTCATCAAGCTCAGCCCGTGCATACTCATTGCACGTATGAGTACTCATGCTCAATGACAATGCCAAACAAAAAAACCTCATAGGCCAGCTTAGATGCCCAAGTGCACTCGGATGAGGCAGGTGTCTAGGCATAAGAAAATGGTTGGTGATACAGGGGGACGCCTCGGAACACGAGTACCATGAGACGCTGACGATGGTGGGTGTCGCCCACGACCACACGATCCACTGCCGTGGCGGGAGGATGCTGCTGTGGCGGGAAGCCTGCATGTTTCCCCTCCTTCATGGTTGAGCGTTACAAACGGGATCTACGTTGGTTTTTTCTTCTATCCGTTGTTTCGTAACTAGACCCTCCCGTCTGCGATTAGTCGCCATAACCCCTCCCTTGGACAACACTTGCTTCGCCAGTCTCGAATCTTCAAACTGCCAGAACAAAGCCTCATTGTCGACTATTTTCGGTCAAAGGAATTGGGCAACTGTGCACCACCGGCGGCCGAGCTGTCTGTTTCTGCGCCCCGATGCACAAAGCTTCCGTACGAAGGCCAGGCGAGCAAGCCACAGCTGTGTGAGGGGACTAAGGAAATATCTGAAACGTAGCCCGGTGAGAACACCCCTACCCGCCAGGGGACACGTGCGCACTGGCAACCGTGTCTACGTCTTGCCGCTCCTGGGCTAGTCTTCAGCCTGGAATGCCATGGCGGGTGGTTTTATGAGAGCCCAGTGCGCCCAGCCCAATCATTGGACGTGCTACCCCTGACCTTGGCCATGTCCAGCCGCGACGTCGACAATCACCCTCGAAGCGCCAGGCAAGCAAAGCGAATACAGCACAAAACCACTTTTGTCCGCCGTGTGACGCGGATGACCTGCAGCTGCCGTAAGAAAAGCGCTTGATGGAGACACGAGGTTTAGCCCTGTCAGCCAATACTGGTGCGCGGTGCATCGGACTCCAAAACCCCCCTGGTCACCCGCGTGGTCTTAGGTCGCTCTAGGGGATGATGAAATGAAAGGATCCGAGCGGCGAGGTTGGCAGCAAAGACCCGCCTAAGACGCTCTAGCTCCAGGCATTGGCAAATCTGCGGAGGGGACGGGGCCGTGGGCGGACCTGCGATGGCGCTCGTTCTCATTTCCAGGCCCATACCCGCTGCACAGCGCCCGTTCGCTACCTTAGCGCCATGTTGTATAAATGTAGTCTATCCCCTCATTATATCCAGCCCTTCCTTTGATACCCCAGGTCTGCGACTTCCAGGTTCGACGCCAGTCTTTCAGTCCATATACATTGTCAGTCTTTGACACCACGTTCTCTACCGCCCTACGGCATAACCACGCTCTCTTCGCAAACATAACCAAAAACCCGTCGACCGTCGAACCCTTTTTGTCAATTCCCTCAAGTTCAGACCTATCCAGTCAAAACCAAACCACACAAATCTACAAACATGCGCTCCTCCATCGCCATTTCCATCGCCGCCCTCGCTGGCTCTGCGCTCGCCGCTCCCTCCTACCCGGCCGCTTACCCAGCTGCTTACCCAGCCGACAAGCCCGCTCCTGCTGCCAACCCCAACGTTGAGGTTGTCGTCGAGCACGTAGTCCACACCGTCTACGTCACTGAGGGCTCCCCCGAGGCCACTCCATGCCCTTCCTCCACTCCTGCTGCTACTCCCGCTCCAGCTGCTACTCCCGCTCCTGAGGCCTACCCAGCTGAGCAGCCCAAGCCCGCTCCCTCCTCCACCCTCTCATCTGTTGTCTACGTCGAGGCTACCCCAAGCCCCTACCCCGAGGCACCTGTTGAGCAACCTGAGCCCGCACCGGAGCCAACCCCTACTCCCACTCCCACTCCTGCTCCTGCTCCTGAGCCAACTCCTACCCCTACCCCATCGCCTTCTCCCGCCCCAGCTCCTGCCACTGGAGGCTACATGGATGTCGTCGCCGAGTGGCGCGCCAAGCTCGGCCTCAGCAAGCTCGAGTTCTCCGCTGAGCTCGAGTCCAACGCTCTTAATGTCGTCATTGAGGGCGCTGGTGTCATGAAGCACAAGCTCAACTCTGGCACCTACGGCCAGGTCCTCGCCCCCGGCGATGCCGACAAGTTCGAGTACGTCTTCGTCGGTGGATGGCTCTGCGAGATGGCCAACCTCCCTGGCCTCGGCAACGCATGCCAGGAGTTCTCCAAGGGCTGGGACTACCAGGGCCAGACTGGCCACGCCGAGATTCTCACCTCTCCCAACTACTCCAAGATTGGTTGCAGCAACAAGGAGGGTATCTGGTGCTGCGATCTCGCTTAAGCAGCATCATGCCTTTCATGAGACAAAAGAGAAGGGGATTCTAATGCTTCTTCTTGGGTGGTTCTTCGATTCTATTCTACTTTAGGTGACAGGGCGGCTTGGAGACCCAAACAACACGCAATGCGTAGCTTTATATCAATTGCGCTGGTTCGGAACAGTATTTTCACTTCTCCTTTGTATCTGTATATGGTACTTTGTCTGGTTTAACATTCCCTGCTTCACACTAGGGGCGCAGTACTTGCAAGCGTTTTTAACTCTCTCTTAGTATCTACTGCGAATTACAGATTTACGAATTCACGAGCCAACCCTTTGCTTTTGCCTTCTCTTTTCGCGCGTGCTTGGCCTTGTTTGTGTATAAAGTGATGTCAACAACAGCATATTATGGACCCTTTTCGCGCCCAGCTTCTAGCCGACTACTAGCCAACCAGCGCACACCCCTTTAGCGGCTCTAACGTTCACATGCAGTTAGAACCAAACTTTACGCCCGGCCGCTGTGCGCCACACTGCCGATCTCCTTTTCCCTTGTTCCTGAACCCGACAAAGGTCCCCAAAAGAATGACACGAGCAAGACAATAAAAAAAAGTACGCCGTACAGAGGAGAACCAACCCAAATAGAAAATATCGCAGCTGACGGAGATAAAGAGAAGGGGGGAAACACTCAGTCTCCAGTCAGCACGCGCGAAAAACGCCCAACGGAGATGACCTTCCCTCCCCCGGCAAGTGTGCAAGACGCAAACCCCCTCGCCGGCCCTCGTATTCGGGCGCGCAGCACCCCCCTGGTACCTGCGCCCGTGGTGTGTGCCTGCCAAGTACGCGTTCCTGGCCCTAGTGTGGACTGGCCGTTACCCTCCATTCCGTTTCCACGCTCAAGCTAAGGCCCCCCCTTCCTTCTCCCCGTCGATTCAAGGAATTCTAGATTCGCCAAATCGGCTGGCTGGCTGGCTGGCTGGCTTGCTTGCGCTCCCTTTTAGCAAGATTTGGCATGCGCATGGCATGTGTCCGCGAGGCTTTCTTATCAGAAGGGATTGGCATTGATGCGCGCTTAGTACGCACGCTTGATGCTTTGATAGGGTAGCTGATGGACAAAAGGACGCGGGTTGGGGAGAGAATTAAGCTTTGGATACGCACAGCTGTCTTGCGCCTCAGTTGGCACGGGGCGAGTGGATGGGGAGGGTCGCCCGTATCTCTCTCTCTCTCTCTCTCTCTCTCTTTCTCTTGCGCTCTGTTCAGTACACCTACCGATGATGGCTGTGGCGATGCCAGAGAGGGTCTCTGTGGGACTCGGCACTCTGCATCGCAACGCGCAACCTTCCCCTTTGCTCACAAGGAAAATTCAACATCTTTTTACTATATACTAACTACAATCGTTATCGGTCGTCGTATCTATGGTCCTTGCCGGACAACCCGAGATTCCCTTTCGGCTGAGCGGTTTTCGTCCCCCCCCCCCCGGGGAAGAAGTGGGAATTGCGGGCTACACACGTGTGTGTGTGGGCAACGTGGAGTCGCATGAAGAAAGAAAAAGAAAGAAATGGGGTTCGTTCCCACCGGGGAAGGCGCAAAAAAACAATGACTTTTGCAAACGACGCCCTTGTCTCGCTTCCACACACACACATCCCCCCTTCCCCTCCCCCATAACAATCAATCAAACCATCCCGCCTTTTCGCTGTCTTCCCCGACATTACGCAGTTTGTTGAAATCTCGTTTACGCCATGGTGACACATTATAAGTTCTCTATTATAGCTCGTTTTGATGAGATTGAACCTCCCCCTCCCCAGAAAAAAATTAGAAATATTAGCTGTTATTTACAGGTTTACGAACGTATTTGGAGGTCGAGGCTGCACATCGTAATTTCCCGCCGCAATGTATGTTGTTCTGTATGGATGCGACCCGGTTAGGGCCACCCGCCGCCGCTGGTACCAACATTTTTTTTCTCTCTTTCATGCTTCATGGGTTGGAAAGTGGGTGTGTTATTATCGGGTTCGGTGATTTCGCGGCCGGGTGGGTCTGTCTGTTGTGTGTTTGTTATCGATGGCCCAGGTTCGCGAGTTCTGGACTTTCTACGAGTCTTCTTTTCTGAATCGTTTTTTTCTAGAACTGGTTTTTTTTTATTTGGAGAAGTGCTGGTTATTGTGGGTATACGAATTCAGCCGCGATTAAAGAAGTGGAGAGGGGGCGAATGTTAGGCTTCCTATTGCTTTGATTGCTTTGGGCTTCCAGTCTTTTTTTGGGGCCATGTACGCATGCCACATGGACGGCTTGGTGCAGACAATTTTTCTATTTACTACTCAGTCGAGGTGTTGTCTCCGAGAGGGCATTTGCTTGTAGCGGCTGGGCAGTTGGGCGGCGCGCGCTTGCAAAGTACGGACGTACGTACGCAAGAGAAGTTGCTAAGAATTAGTAAGAGAGCCCAGAAGAAGTCCTATCTGTGGGCGCCCCCACCGCCAACAACAAGCATGGTGGTGCCGGTGCCTGGAAGAGAGTTCCGTCCAACGATCGATCGCAAATCGTAGGCAAATGTAACAGAACGCACCCGCACGTAAAGATTGGCGATTCATGGTTAGTATTGGATAAGCCCTGGCGCACTGTGCTCTCTGGGTCTGGACGACGTTCGGTTGTTGGTCCAAACACACAACACGCATACGCATGCTCCTCTTTCGTGGTCCCGACTTTTGCAGGCGCCGGCTCCCGTATCCGAGAATAATTGGGCGGGCGCCGGACGGACGTCCCCCAAGCCACAGCGCTCACGTACCGGCAGTATCAAAGCGCGACGTTTTGCCCGTTGGCGTCTTTCTCTCCTTCGGACCTGTGCTGACGTACTTTGCTATAATGAAACAAGCAAGCATATAGTAGCTGGTGCGCTTCCAACGCCCTACCGCAGCTTACCGACGCTAAAGAAGCACAATCGTCGACTAGCTGCTGGCTTGCTCCGTGAACTCTTTTGCTGCCATGGTCTTCCCTACCTATGCACAACCATAACTGCGTGGCCTGGCGCGCTTCACCAACTTTGGCAAAGACATTGTTGAGGTGCGCGGTTCATGTCACTTTCATTCATACGATGATACACCGTGGCTGTACCGAGGACGTCACCACCAGTTTCCTTGACTCGGGGAAACCCTACATATAGGTGGTAGAATAATTCTCCGGGTCATGGAATGTTCGTGATCGGCCGTCAAAGTACTAGGTTGGTGTGTCCGGGGAACTGCAAGACGCGGGACGTCAAGATTAACAGTTTGTAATGAAAATTTCCTGTTTAGGCAGTTGTACTCAGGTAGATAGCATGTATGATACGATGATCCCTGATCATAGTCGGTGTGTTACAAGATGCTCAACAACCACTTCGCCGTCTACGTAAGTACTGTCCCCACTGAAGTCGGTGTGCGAGGCGTGTCGCTGAGCTGAGAAGACATGGTCGGGCGGTGTGCAGTGGATGCATGTATGCTTTTCCGTTTACATCTTGGTCCTCTGTTGTGTGGCTGGTTTGAGTTTCAGCTGAAGAGGATGTAAATTATTGGTCACCAGCGATGCTGGCACAAGCGCCAGTATGTGGATTCCCTCGCCTCGAGAAAATGGAGATGTGTTCACAGACTTGGAATTCGTGGACCAATGTATTCTTGGATTGATGTGATGAAACTGCATGTAGTGTGAAAATAGACTTTGGCTTATGCGATTGGTTGAAACAAGGTGGGTAGGGGGAGCTGGTTGGCTGCCTGCCTGAGTACTACACTAACACACAACACCAAGCAGAAACCTACTAGAAATTCAGAATGTTGAAGAAACAGAATGCAGAAAAAAAAATTGCATTGAGCGTAGCATATGCTGTCTCAGTCACATCATCAAGGTCCAAAGTATCCGCGACTTCGTAGTTGACCTGGACATAAGCCAACCCAGCCTCGAATTTCCACCAAGTCCATATTCAACACTTGCAACCTACTTTTCACTTCTCCCTCTAACAAAAAAAAGACCCCGTCCCCATCACCTCCAACTACACAAATCCCCTTCCACAATCCCATTGAAGCCCTCCTGACTACAATCAACATGTCTCCCCTCCCCCTCACCCCGAGAGTACCCTGATATCACCCCTCGACCAACAAGGTCCTCACCACCACCATGCACCACCCACTCGCCACCACACCCGGCACACATACAATATAATCTAAAATTTTCATAATCCAATTTTGACAAGAGAGAGAAAGAGAGGAACTTCTATTCTCAACTCCATCACCAACGCAAACGAAAAAAACGTAAAAGGTAAACGCAAAGCGCAAAAGCGATACTACCGCAAACATGTCCCACGAATCCGTCTGGTACTCGCGTCCCCGCACATACGGTAAAGGATCAATCGGCTGGTACTTATCCCTCATTTCCTCCTCATCATCACACCGCACGTCTTCAACTCACTCTCTGGCTTGGACGATCAAAGTGCTAATAATGGGGGATGCGTGCAGTGTTGTCACGGGCTCGAGGAAGAAATCTGGCATCATTCGCAAATACGGGCTCAACATGAGTCGACAAGCTTTTCGGGAGAAGGCCCAGGATATTGGGTTTGTCAAGGTATGTTCTAGTTGGTGAGACGATAGGGGAGAGGGGATGAAGAAAAGCTGATGGGTTGTAGTATCGATGAGCTAGGATTGTAACGAGACGATGTGGTCACGATGGGGGAAGTGTGGAGGATGATGGATCAAGGCAGTTCATGGTTTCGTTGGGGAAAAAAGAGTGTACCATTTGAATACAAGAAGTGTGTGCAGAGACTAGTCATACCTTAGTGTGAATCTTCAATCTACGCACTCTTTCCGCCAGACGATTTCTTTTTTCGCCATCTGTGAACTCTATCTATGCAAAAACCCAAGCTACATATCGTGAGATTAAAAACTGGAAATATGTAATCGCTCGAATTCTCTCATGAGGTCGCGGAGAGTGCGAAGCTCGCGGAGGGGCCCGTTGGGGTTTGTCAGGCCGACGGGTCGCTGCGCAGTCATGCTGCTAATCTCAACAGTGTCGGGTGTGACGATTTGTTCCATCTCTCCGTTGATCTGCGCAATAGACTTGACCAAACTGAAATCACCAAAGATTCCACTTGGCTCCTCGCACAGCTTGTAGAAAGGCAATCCATGCATTTCGTAGGTCTGGGCATTTATCGGCTTCGTTGGAGGTGCTTGGCCAGTGACTGCCTCGTAAACGGCCGAGTTGAGGATTTGCACGTTGAAGACAGTGGTACGGTTACTCTGCCAACGATCTTCAAGCTTGTCGGGCATGATGCCTTGCTTGATCTTTCCGCCAGCGGCAACGGCCATCTCCACTGGCGGGATAGAATATCATCCACCGTGTATGCGACATATCAGATAAAGCAAAGAGTACTATATCGTCTTATCAGCATTTGTTCGTACGTATAGGCTAGGTAAGCATACTCCATTGACTCCGTAATATCCAAGGGTATTTTCCTCTGCTATTTATGTTAGTCAAACTGCAGCTACAGATACTTCAATACACACTGACCTTGAACCTGTTTTCCTCGAAACATGAGCCTCTGTTCACTAGTTCTTATGCCACATTTATCTTGAACAGACTGCTTCAACATTTCGACAGTGTCGTTCTCATGGCCATGTAACGTGAAAAAGTCTCTGTTCAACGCCCTCACGAAGAGAATGAAAGCTCCTTCGGTATTATTGAGATTTACGAAAACTTCCGATGTGGTTTTGTGCTAGGGGTGGTGGGGGAGATGTACAGTACTTGTTTTGTACGGGATAATCTCAAAGTGAACACCACCTGCGGTATCTTTGCCGGTAGTCTGAGATTCAATCGAGTAGCCGCTTCCGAAAGGCATGGCCACAAATTGTCGGATGGTGCCGTTGGAGTTGGCGATACCATCTAGCCACTCCTGGCCCGGCACGATAACGTAGTCTTGAAGCGGGATTGAGTCGGAGCCATCGCTATTGTTAATGAACTTTGCAAATTGAGCCTGGCGGCGCAGCTTGGTGCCGCAATCCTCCACCGCAGGCTCACCGGAGATGGCATATATGCTGCCAACATAGATTTTGATCAGGTATTTTGCACTCAAAATTAATCCACTTTGCTTCTGATTCTTCAAGGCAACTCAGTGCATGCGCTATATTTTCTTAGTGCATGTGCACTTACGATACATGGGAAAGGATACGCCGCCTTTGGTAGTCATCGCGGGCGGCATCTGTTTGCTGTAGTCGGCCACCGCTTTAAGTGGGTATGCGCCCAGATCTGGCGGAAGGTAGGAAGATCGATCATTGTCCGGCACCCGGATGGTACGTCGAAATGAGATGCGAAGATTATCGTCTACAACTATTTCACTGCTCTTTAGTTCGCACTTCAAAGGGCCGGTTGCCATTTTTGGGAGATCTGGAGGTAATGTTAGGAATGAGGGGTTCGAACAAGAAGTACTGAGAGGTAAACTTATAGCCGAAGGAGATACGGCGAGTAGACAAGGAAGAAGCAGCTAGAGCGAGACACGGCAAGAGACACACAAACAGAGAGAAACAACAAGAGAGACATGAACCAAAGTGAACGTGACCAAACGGAAGTGGAAGGCACCCAGAACCGTCTCACAGCCACACGCCATCGCACCACTTATCGCTCCTTCCACTTCCTTCTTCAAATTTCCAAACCAGCACAGTAAAAACACTCTTCGAGCGAAGACTCCCATTACTGTTTATTTTCTATTCCTATATCCCTGCGCTATGCAAATGATACCCACACCCAAACCCACCCCCTCCCCATCTATCACAACCTCCCTACCTTACAACAACCTCCTCCCCTCCTCCACGCCCCTCAAACTCCTCTCACAATCCCCACAATACCCCTTCACCCACTCCTCCACTTGGTTTCCCTTGCCCTGCTTCGCCGCGCTCTCAAGCAGCTTCCCAACTTTACTACACTTGTGGGTCTCGTCTAGAAGCCAATTTGCGTATTCGGCTTCTACGACTTCCTTTTCAATGCGGTTGACGACACGCAGGGCGACGAGGAGGTCGTGGCGGTGGGATCCGAGGTTCTGACGTGTGCGGTGCAGGCGCTGTGTGCTTTGTGTGGGGGTTTTGAAAAAGGTATGAGAGGGGTTTGTGGAAAAGGGGTCGTGGAGGAGTTTGGTGAAGGTTTGGTGGCTGGGATACAAGTTAGCTCGAGTTGATACGTAAAGAGTATTTGGGCAACGTACCATTTGTTGTCAGCATTGGGGACAGGCGCTGATAACTTAATGCTGGTAGCGTTCGGATTGAGGAATGCGTCTTCAATGTCGCGAATATAGATTGAGCGCGTCATGCTGGTTGATGGGCCGACTCCCAATCGCACCATGTAGTTGGCGGCGCCCCGTTCGTGCCACCATGTCCAGCTGTCTCGCGAAGTGTAGAATAAGTTTACCCCACCGCTGAAGAGCAAGAGACCAAAGAGCAAGGTGTGGGCTGAAATGACCTTGCCCAGCCCAGCGCCTATCGCCAGTATCCAGCTCATGACAGTTGAGATGACACTGATGACAATGTTGCCGATGAGCTGCGCAACAAATGACCCCGTCGTTTGTGGTTGTAGCTTGAACTTTCGAGGTCGGTTAGGTGGCGGAATGTCTTGTGCATCCAGCTGTACAGCTTGTGTTTGTGCACCAATCTGGCCAAAGATATTGACAACCTTGTTGGTATTCCTATTGTGGCCAAGCCTTGCGACCTGGTCGTTGACCACATCCACAAGATCTTGTGCCTCAAGCTCTAGATCCTGTAAAGCTTGGCGCTCGATAAGCTTCTTCGCGAACCGTGGGTTGCGTTTCCAGTCCACTTTTGTATGTATAGCGAGCTTGCATCGTGCTTTCGAGACGTGCGTGACGACAATCTTACTGACCAATACAAAGCGCTCGTGACCAGGCAGATACCAGGGTGTCTTCCGGTCAGATACGACGTAGCAGAGGTGATCGTTGAGCACTTCGATTACTTGGTAGTCGTTGATGATAATGGCTCCATTCTTGCCTGGTTGTGCAATCTCGTACTCAAAGTCTCTTCGCTGGAGGCTCTTGTCACTTACGGTCCATGGACCCTGCACAACGCGCGTCGCTCTTCGTTCGCGATACAACAGTTGGAAAACAGCGCTCTTGTCACCAAAAAGGATATGGAACAACCCCTTTGCACTAATTTCATACTCCTTCTCCACTGCCACCTGCGTCATGCCAGCCGGAGAAAATACTACGGGCTGATTGGGCAACTTGAACTTGGTGGCGTTTCTGTTGATATTTGCACCAGATGGTCCAAATAAGTTGCCGTCAATGCGCAAACTAGTTTTCATGTTCTTTCCACCATATCCTGGATCAACAGGTGTGTCTGGAGCAACATCTTCCCAACCTTCTTCAGCCGCTGAGTGCTGGCTCTCATCAGTTTCCATCTTGAGCAGCGTCTTGACTGTTTCCTCGAGGCTATGCTCGCCTGACGCTGCATTGCGAACGAGGACATTTAGGCGTCGCAGAAGCAACCTCAAAGGCTCGAGGAAGGTCTTGACGGTGAGCCTGGTAGCGCCGTCTTGCCTTGCGCCAGGTTTGAAATGGAGGAATAAGAAATCACAGTCTTTGCCAGGTGCAGCAGTGACTTCGTCAACTGAGGACATGCTGATACCAGTTACAAGAACAAGACCAAGGTGGTTGCTGTAAAAGTAGATGTTCTTGGTTGTGAGGTAGACACGACCCGGAAACTCTTGCAGGTCTGTTGGGTTCCATACTGCACGGAACACCAGAACTACTTTCTCTGACCGTGGTACTGTGGGGAACAGTATGCGAAACTGCGCGTCTTGCATACGTAGAGCGAGAGGATAAGAGCTCGGGAATTCATCCTCATCCACCACGTCCCGGTTGGGAGCAGCAGGAATAAGACTACCCATACTAGCTGATTTGCGATGCACTACACTGGCCGGAGCTGCTGATGCGCCTCCTACTCCGGCTTTCTTGTCATCAGACATGAAGCCAGAAGAAGGATCTGGTGAACTTGGAGGTCCGACACGGGTGCTAGATTCCTCTTCGCCTAGAATATTAACATACCCCCAATTGACTGAGCCCCATAAGTTGGCCATTAGTCCACCAGGCATGTTGCCCGAACGACCAGTACCAAGACCGCGCTCACCGCTCACAGCAACCGCAGCTTTGCTAAGGTTTGTTGGTGCTGGCGGACTGGCAAGCGTAGAAGGAGCAAGTGTCGTGTGAGGGAGCGTCTGACCCATGACGAGCCGAGTATCGGGAAGTCCGACTGCAGGTGCTGTAATTTGTCCAACTTGTACAAGGTTATGGCTAGCTGAAGCAAGACTGGCAGATATGAGGCTGGCAATGCCGCCACTTGCAGAAGAAGGATTGTTTCCGCTAAGCTGGGGGCCAACTGTTGATTTTCGAGTAAGGTCAAGCCTCTCCATAATCCGGGCAGTGTGGTCGCGACGACTGCCATCACCTTCGAGTCCAGTAGCACGCCTGGTCACATCAAAACTTCCACGTGCAGCGAGGCCATCAGCACCTGGAGGACCAAGATTATCAGGGCGGTCCGTATTGAGGGTGTCATCACCAGGAAGACCCACGTTGCCTTCGGAAGTCTTCGCGGCAAATTCGGGGGCTACAGGCGGGCTGATGGAGAATGCAGCGTCGATGGAACCAGCACAAGACAAGTCTTTAGATGTATCTTCCAGCGCCTTGCGCTTGGCAACCTCAAAGGCAGAAATCCATTCAGTTATGTCGTTTTGCGTCTCAGCTTGGAGGAGGATGGTAGTGTCTTTTGTCTTTACTTCAAAGCAGAAGCGTCGCTCCTCTGCAAATGCAGGTCGGATACCGCAGAGCAACACACCGATCTTCTCAGATTCTTCGACAGCACCGGATCGTGTTCCTTGTGTTAGCCAACCAAAGATGCCATTCTTGACAAAGAACCACCGCCTGACCCAATAAGTCCTGGCAGGTTTGCCCGTGATTGTGCGTTGGAACAGCCAGCCCTGCTTTTCTGCCTTTTCATTTCCAGGATCCGGTTTAGCTGGCGACTGTAAATTGGCAGTCGAGGTTGCTGTGCCGAGGTAGGGAACAGTCGAAGCAGCATATGAATCCAGATCTCGCGACGGTCGTGAGTTTACTTCAGCGGCGGCCTCGATCTGCTGTCGCGCAAGATACAGTTCCCTCTTGAAGACACGCTCACCGTTTTCCATTTCCTTGCTCCAGCCGCGCACGCGCTCAACATCCGACGTCCAATTGGTGAAGCCCTTTGCAGAGGATTCGGTTCCGGACTTCATCTCACGCCATTGTTCATGCACGATCTTGACGAGTAACTTGTCCAGGGTCAAGCGCACCTGAGGCGCCAGGACACAGAAGTTCATGCTGGCTTGGAGGTATGCCCGCCGAGCCTCGTGCAGCTGAAAAGCATCCTCTCTCAGTGACGAAGCCTCTTTTGACTTGATCTGTCCTGCATACCGTGCGATGGCTAGATCAAAGATGCGCTGGGTAGAGTCGAGATTCTTGCGGGCTTCCTTCAACACGCGCAAGTCATTAGAGAGGAAGGCTCGCAATGGTTCGCACATGGTTGTCTCAGCGCGCTTCATGCACCGCAGCGCGCTGTTCCAATATTCGCGCGCCCCCTCGCCAAAGCGCTTGAGGGCCAGGACTGTATAGTCATGGTCGACGACGGCTTCGGAGAGCTGCAGCGGCGGATGTGAAGTTTGAACGTATGTGTCTATAAGGGCTTGCATGTTGTTGCATTCAGTTGCAAGCCTCGAGGTGGCGCGGACAAAGGAGTCGAGCCATCTTTCTATAAGTTCGATCTGGTCGCCGTAGTGCACAGCGGTTGCGCGGAAGGTGGGTGAGTCGAGAGCGGCCTCTTTAATTACTACTGGTCTGCATGCTGTAAGTATAATAGGGGGCCAGTAAAGCCTCTCGCAACATACATCAAGTCCAGTGGCCTTGATACCGGCTCGACGCTGAGCTGCGGTGGCTCCTCCTCAGCCATGGGTGCGGGCGCTTCCGCTTACAAAAAAAGAAGATTATGGAGACAGGTATTTACAAGAAGCCAAAGCAAAAGTAAACATGGAGGCTATAATACATGGCCAAAGTCATGAGGGGGGAAACTGTGTCGCGTGGTGCTGCTTGTCGTCCCGTCCTGATCATGCATGGGCCCGACCATGGGTTCCCTTGGGATGCGGCCGTGGGTCGTCACTGCCGCGGCCAACGTCAGGGTTCACGCGCTAGCACCTGCTCCACCAAAATTTTGTGACCAAGCAAGCCACTCCACCAACACCGACATCAACCTCGAGCCACACCACATGGCGGCCACAAAGGACAAGACCACCACCGGCCGTGCCAAGCGCGAGCTCAACAGTGCCATTGAACCGCCAGCTAAAAAGGCG